GCGTACGTTGGAGAGAAAAATGCCGGGGAGAGCCGTGCGCGCTCCTCTCCTCCTAAGACGCACGAGCAGGCCTCCGCGCTTTCCCCTTTTACGGGCCCACACTTTTTTGGCTAGAACATGAACTAAATCAGCCGCAGATGCCAAGAAAACAGGCAATAGGTCCATGGGAACGGTGGGTCGGATGTTCATAAGTTCCTCACGGGTGTAGGAACAGCCAGATGCGCAGTTAAAAAGTAAAAACAAAAGAAAAAGAGAGCAGCAAAGAGCCATGTCGACCGTACGAGGCGCCATCTTTGTAGCGCTGTAGTTCTGCGCTGGAGAAAATAAAAATCGAATTTTTAAAAAAATAAATCGCCCTAAACGTAAAACTTGAATTAATGATTAAAATCGATTAATCGCCCAGCCCTAGTCAGATGTCTGAATACTTAACATGTATATTGCATTTGGTCACAGTTGTGGTTCTGGTTGTAGCAATAGCATCGGCAATAGATGGTTTTCATTGGCTGGTTCTTGTTCTGCAAATGGCTGTGTCCAATAGATCATCAGATGTCCAGAAGCTAGGGACAAACAAAAACAAAAGAAGAATCATGAGTATCTGTCTCATTTAGCACTCATCAATGTATGATTTCAAAAATATAAACATCACTCCCCAGTTTTCTCTCCAAGTTCCTCAGATCCTCAGGTCCTCAGGGTCCTCTGAGGGTGAGTCTCAGTCGTCATCAGGTCAGGTCATATTTCGAGAGATGTCATCTTGGACATCAGTAGGGTCCAAGCCATGGTTTTGGTCTCTCCAGATGCACATCAGGATCTCCAGATACAGTCTTTTCACTTGAAGCACATCAGGTCATTTGCGATGCACTTCTGGTCAATGGTGCAGTGTCTCAGTTCCTGTACACAGCTTGTTATGCAGTAGTTATTCTCTATGGTTAAGTCACTTTGATTCTACTTTAACACAATTTCTATTCCTGCTGTTGCTGATGTCTCTCAGACAAAAGCAAGCGCAATTTACTTCTCTAATTTGTGTTTTAATCATATCTAATTCTAATCAATGTAATTACTTCACACAGTACAAAATCAACAAATCAAAAGTGTCAGGACAGACGTCAATTAAGTCCATGACAATATAGAATTCAAATGAACATTTCTGGTCTCAAAAAATACTGATTCAAGTGATAGACAATTAAAAATATGTGTTTACATTGGAGTAAACTTTTAAAATGCTTTTTTCTCATGTTCTGCTTTTTCATGTATCTATATGTAAGTGTGTGTGTGTGTGTGTGTGTGTGTGTGTGTGTGTGTGTGTGTGTGTGTGTGTGTGTGTGTGTGTGTGTGTGTGTGTGTGTGTGTGTGTGTGTGTGTGTGTGTGTGTGTGTGTGTGTGTGTGTGTGTGTGTGTGTGTGTGTGTGTGTGTGTGTGTGTGTGTGTGTGTGTGTGTGTGTGTGTGTGTGTGTGTGTGTGTGTGTGTAGGGTGTGAATTTTGGGGTTGTGTCTCCAGACTCCTCAAACCACCTGTAGGTGTCAAAGGTCACACTGTGGTGATGTAACCACGTGGACACACTTTCAACTGCCTCTAGGTCTCTACCTGAGGCCTCCACCCATCACTGCCTCCAGAAACCTCCACTTTCATGGCCCCGGTCTCACTCCCACTTACTTCTGTAGTGGGGGGAGGGGCGTAGAGGTGGCATTGTTGCCCTTTGCTCTTAGCTCTGTGGCCTGTGGCTGGGTGGGCGTTGCCCTGTCCAGTGTCCAGCAGTGACCTCTCGTACAGTGTGGCAGAGTCTGAAAAACAATCCTTGAGACGGCCAATTTAAAAAAACAATAGATATCAGTATGCGAATGAGATTGTTTTTCTCCCTAAAGTCAAAACAATTTTGGAGCGCTCTGGGCTTTCCCACATGTGCTATGTAAATAAAAGATTACTTATTATCTTACTAATGATGACATTTTAAGACCAGAAACTCTCTCTTAATAAAAAACAAGACTCAAATCTCTTAAACCTTCAAACTTTAAAATATGTATTATGTACTTTTGTACTGTGTGTTTAATTATCTATGCGTCCTTGGGTTTCACTTTATGGACTTTCCCTTTTACACTTATTTATCTCAGCATCTATTCTACTAATTTAAAATAATTGCAGCATTTTCAAATGAAGTCAATATGAATTGGAGCACATTTCAGATCAGTCTCCTGTGCTGCGTGCATCTGCAGCAGCAAGGTCAGGTGCATTGTCAAAACAAAAAAGTCACCACTTGAATGTGATTTGGGTGAATTGGGTACAGTTTAACTTAATAATACTTTTACAGCCTAATTCTAATTCCCTCTTTCTTTTTAGACAAAGTCTATAGTCAATAATCACTTTTAACACAGATTCTAATTTAAATGTTTGAAAAATGGCTTTTGTAACTAAAATAAAAACATAAAAACAAACAACTCACAAAAAGTTAAGAAATAAGCAGCAGATTTAAAAGAATGGAATCTAGAAATATGTTAGGTCTAAAAAGAATTGCACAGCTTTAGCACTAATATTTGGGTTTCAAAAACATATAATATTCAAAACTTATTCAGTAATGGTGTTTAAAAACGTTTAACTGTGTCATGACACAATGTTCAAATGGCAAATTTCGCAAATTTAACGGAATAACAACTATGAAAAGCCATAAATCCTAAAGCAGTAGCTCTGATTCAGAGCCAGAGCAGCAAAGGAGGGGGCCGTTTCCCTGACAACGGCAGCAAGATAGAGCGACGCACACAGGCAGAAAGCAGTGTTTTAGCAAAAATGCAAAAACAGAAAGAAGAATAACTTTCAAGATTACTTTTTTAAGCAAATATAACTTATGTTGTTCTTTATACTTTTGTCATCCAAGTCTAGAAATGGCCACTTTCCACACTTGTAACAAAAGGCACTCTTGTCTTTAACGTTTACGCTTCTATTTTATTGAGGTAGCAAACTAATTTAAACTCAAAATCTTTCTAAAAAACAAAAACAACTGTTGGATACAACCCTCTCATAGCTTAACTGTAGATATAACTCGGCAAAAAATGTAAATAATTCACGAAAGCTCTCATAGCTCAACTTTAGATAAAACTCTGCATTCTCCGGTGAACTCTGTTCACGCCAAAAACAAACTAAAAAACAAAAAACTCCTTTTTTCCTTTTTCTGTATGTAATTTAAACCGTGATCACTGAAATATTGTTGTTTCTTTACTTTTGTCATTTATCAAGCTTGGAATTGATTAATTACAAAACTTTTGTGACAAAAGGCCTCCTTAACACGTTTCCCTTTTTATAATTACTTTTAATTTTACACTTTTGGATCCAACACTTTTCTCTGGCTAGCAAGGGGCCTCTACCCCGGTAATTACTCAAAAAAGGGCCTCTACCCTGTAATTACTCTTTTTCTCTTCTCAAGGGGCCTCTACCCCGGTAATTACTCAAAAAAGGGCCTCTACCCTGTAATTACTCTTTTTCTCAAGGGGCCTCTACCCCGGTAATTACTCAAAAAAGGGACTCTACCCTGTAATTACTCTTTCTCTGCCCTGACTACTTCAAAGGACAGGGACCCCAATACGTCAAGGGGTTCTTTTTTCCTATAGGGACTGGTTACCCACACAGCTAACCTGTTTTCTACAACATAAGACATGACAAAGACGTGACAAAGACAAAACAAAGAAAATTTGATTTAGAGAGATTTGGACAGACCTCCGGGACAGCTCAAAATTTAGCTAGTATCCAATTATGCAGACTTTACATATTAAAAAAGGTGTCTGCTTACCTTAATTCTTTGTCCGGACTGTTCGAGAGGTCGACCAACATCTTTTCCGCGTCGAAAAATTCAATTTAAACATAAAACAGAGAAAGTGAGGGAGCAAGAGCAAGCCCATCCAAAAGCGAGCCCTTTCAGCGTCCGCTGGGATTTCTCCCCTTCCAGATAACGTGCTGTTGCTCCCACACGCCGAAAAAAAGAAACAGAGGAAATTCCCTCAAAACAATCCAGAGAATGGCACACACTGAGCCGCGCATTCTCCACCAAATCTGATAGGATTTAGCAGAGAGAGACGGATCGTGGTGTGCCAAACTCTGGAAGTTTATTTAAGTTTCTCTCAAGTTCCACTGGTTTCCTCTGTTTCTTTCTCTCAGACAGAATGAAGGCAGTACACAGTTTATATAGTCATTGTCACGTCACACATCGAAAGACATACGTGTCACAAAGAGACAGTCACATCATAGTCATAACATGGAGTCCTTGTAGAGTCCTTGTACAGTCCTGCACGTAGGCCATATTGCTATCTAATACTAACAGTAATTTGGCAAAAATAATAAAATGATTCATTGTGAATTGATTTTTCACGTTGTTAAAATATAGCTCCGTAGTTTATATCAGTAAAGTAAAAAAAAAAGTTCCTGGGTTTCCATATTATTAGTGCAAAAGACACAATAATTAATAATACTACTGTTTATAGTTTTAAATTGTGCTTCTTTGGTTTTCTGTGCAACTGGACTTTTAACATAATCACCTCTAATGGATTTAATATTTTGACTGGAAAAATTGTACCAATTCTTGTTTTCTAACTGTGTTAGAACAGTTCTAAAAAAATCTTTGCCCATCACTAGATAATTCGGGTGTGTCAGGACTTCTGCGGCGGAGGCTCTGCCAAACTCCTGACACCGACTCACTGAACACCTCTATGGTTTGATCAAACCCAGGTTTAGAACATCTGGAGAGACTAGGGAGCGATAAGGGAGAACCCAGAGAGAGAGCGGAATGAGACCAGAGAAAGACCAGGAAGAGAAAATGAGACCATCATTAATGGTCTGACAAAGTTATGTCAGACCATAGTTATATTCTGACAAAGAAGATATGGGACTAAGAGTAAAATCTGACTGTTGACTCTTACCATAGTTACCATATTATCCAATATCTGTGTACAAACACATTTCTAAAACAGTAGACTGAATACTTAGTCCAAATCCAGAGTTCTTCCTTTTGTCGTGTCCTCAGGTGTGGTACAATAACAAAGGCTGGCACGCCATGGTGTCCTTCGTGAACGTGATGAACAACGGTCTGCTCAGGGCCGGTCTGCCTCCAGGAGCCCAGAGGAGGAGCCATGGAATCACTGTGTTCAACCACCCACTGAACCTAACCAAGGAGCAGCTGACGGAGATGGCCATGTGAGAACCAACACCAAACTCACACTATCACAGCCCAATCTCACTCTACGCTACGCTAGCACACTAACACCATCCACCATTTGAACCATAGACTTAGCACTGAAAAAAGTTATAAAATATGAGGTAATAATTGCTTGAATTGAATAATTTTTATCTTTATTGGAGTCAATGGGTCAAAGCCTGCTAGTCTTATTTCAAGAACTGTTGCTTTATTTTCACTATCAAAGAGAGACATTTCTTGTCTATTTTAAAAAAAAATATCTTTTGCTTTGTCCCAATGAAAAATCTTGTTTTAAGGCAGTCAAAATTTGCTCAAATTCCCTGTTGGGCTCAATGAAGCCCAAGAGGGAAGTGCTCATGGATGAAGTTTGGCTCCAACTGCGCACTTCCTCATTGGGCTTCATAGAGCTAATGGGTTAGCATTGTCCATCCATATACAGTCTCTGTTACAGCTCCAAATTTTAAGTGCAGAAGTGACCAGACGTTTCAGAGCTGGTGTTATTTAATGTCTCTCTGTCTCTCTGAACCCTCTCTCACCCCCTCCCCGTTCCCTCTCTCTACCCCTCTCTACCCCTCTCTGAACCCTCTCTCTACCCCTTCCTGTTCCCTCTCTCTACCCCTCTCTTTACCCCTCTCTGAACCCTCTCTGGATCCACTCTACTCTGTACCCCTCTCTGTACCCCTCTCTGTTCCCTCTTTCTGTCCCTCTGTACCCTCTCTACCCCTCCCTGTTCCCTCTTTCTGCCCCTCTCTACCCCTCCATCTACCCATGTCTCTACCCCTTCTCTGGACCCTCCCTCTGCCCCTCTCTACCCTTCGCTGTGCCCTCTCTCTACCCCTCTCTGTTCCCTCTCTTTGCCACTCTCTACCCCTCTCTGAACCCCCTCTCTCTCCCCTTCTCTGTACCCCTCTCTGTACCCTCTCTACCCCTCTGTTCCCTCTCTTTGACCCTCTCTACCCCTCTCTGAACCCTCTCTCTCTCCCCTTCTCTGTACCCCTCTCTGTTCCCTCTCTTTGCCCCTCTCTACCCCTCCACCCCTCTCTGAACCCTCTCCTCCCTTCTCTGTACCCCTCTCTGTACCCTCTGTACCCCTCTCTGTTCCCTCTCTTTGCCCCTCTTGACCCCTCTCTGAACCCTCTCTCTCCCCTTCTCTGTACCCTTCTCTGTACACTCTCTCTACCTCTCTCTACCCTCTCTGTACCCTAGGATGACGACCTCCGTGGACGTGCTGGTCTCTATCTGTGTGATCTTTGCCATGTCGTTCGTCCCGGCCAGTTTCACCCTGTTCCTGATCGAGGAGCGCGTCAGTAAAGCCAAACACCTGCAGTTTGTGAGTGGCGTGCAGCCCGTGCTCTACTGGGTCGCCAACTTCACCTGGGACATGGTGAGGGGCCAAGCTGGGGCCAAGTCTAGTCTCTGGTCTCTTTCTGGTCTCCCTCTGGTCTCTTTCTGGTCTCCCTCTGGTCTCTCTCTGGTCTCCCTCTGGTTTATCACTAGTCTCTCTATGGTCTCTCTCTGGTCTCTCTTTAGTCCCCCTCTGGTCTCTGGTTTCTTTCTTGTCTCTCTCTTGTCTCTCTCTGGTCTCTCTCTTGTCTCTCGCTTGTGTCTCTCTTGTCTCTCTCTGGTCTCTCTCTGGTCTCCCTCTGGTCTCTCTCTTGTCTCTCTCTTGTCTCCCTCTGGTCTCTTTCTGGTCTCTCTCTGGTCTCTCTCTGGTCTCCCTCTGGTCTCCCTCTGGTCTCCCTCTGGTTTATCGCTAGTCTCTCTATGGTCTATCTCTAGTTAGGCCCGAGCCTCGAACAGGGTAAGGGTCTATTGCATTCAAAATGGTGAATGCAAATGGTGGCGGTCACGTTGTGGTGCGTGACGGGCGCTGATGCGTCCGTCACGCACCACAACGTGACGGTTGCGTGCGTAAACTCAAACGCTTGAAAATGATGTATCACGTGCCATTGAAACCTATATTGTTTTTGCACGAGACGTCGAAAAAAAAAAATCCTTATTTGTTTCTTTTTTCTTCTGCACTTTGAGCCTTAATTTGACCCCCTGAACATGCATGAAAAGTTGATATTTTGGTGTTTATTTTTATGGGACTCAAAAAATGCCAGAACAGCGCCACCTTCAACAGCCAAAAAAATACCCCTATGGGACTTTTCGGAGGTCAAGTTTGTTGTAGAGCCATGAAATTTGGTACACATGTTCCTCAAGTCAAGACAAGAAGAAAATATTATTATGGCTCTGCCCTCTGACAAACAGGAAGCCCATAAATTTCACTGCAAAATGGAAAAATGAACAGCAATAATTCTCATACATGTCGGTTGGAAAGCGACTCCTCCTCGGCCGTTTCACCGATTCGCCTCAAAATCGCTCCACATCATCTCAACACATGTACATTCAAAATTACTTCGGCGATTTTGGATCAGTGAAACGTTGTTCGAGCAGCGGAGCGGCAAAATGTGACCTTTTTTTGGCCGTTTTTGACACTATTAAATTTGCTCCCGTTTGCACAAACAAAGTCTGATTCGCACAAAACTTTAATACATTGTTCAGCTCTAGGTCATTTGAAAGGTGAAATGATTCAAATTGACACATTAGCGCCCCCTACAGACTATTTCAAAGTTTTATATGGGCATTTTCAAATTTAGTTTTTTCACAATGTTTGACATTTTGCACATAAATCTGTTTTGTCCTCTTGATTCAAAAAGTCATAAGGGCCCAAGGCTTATTTTTTCATTGTCTTTCCACACTAACTGAACAAATTTTGTTCATCAAAATCGATCAGAAAATAATTCTCAATCTAAATAATGTTTAACAAGTCATTAATACCTTCATAATATAAAAAAATAAATTTTAATACATTCTGTCCCAAACCAGCCCTTAAATTTTAATTTGGCCCTCAACCGAAATGAGTTTGAATATGAATTATGCATAGTTTGTAACTATTTTCTCACATTTCAAAATAAGAAGACACAATCCTTCTGTCGTAAACAGATCTGAACAGAACTGTTTTTAACCTGGATTTTGTTTCTGACTATTTTATTTTCACGACTTCTGTGGCTCGTGTTCTCAGATAAACTACACTGTTCCGGCGACGATGGTGGTTCTGATCTTCATGGCGTTCCAGCAGCAGTCGTACGTGTCCGAGACCAACCTGCCGGCTCTGGTGCTGCTGCTGCTTCTCTACGGGTGAGAATCGGACACAACGAGAGAAACTTTATCTGTCCCACAGTGAGGAAAGGTCAGTGTTGCAGCGCACAGACAGGACAGGAGTAAGACCACACAGTACAACACAGTCCTAAGTAGAAATTGTTATTTATCTCGCTTTTTTCTAGCTGAGATGTTGCTGCCGTACAGTGTTCATGATTTTACGCTGAAATTCACTGGAGGAATGCTAACTTTTTGAAAACTGCTAATGAAGCATTCAGCATTTTACTTTGGACTAGAGCAGAGAAAATGGTCCGAACCAAGTGGCTACTCCATCTTGTGACCATCCTGCTACACCCAGAGGCTACTCCACCTCTGCTGCTGTGACCCGTCCTGCACCACCCAGAGGCTACTCCACCTCTGCTGCTGTGACCCATCCTGCTACACCCAGAGGCTACTCCAACTCTGCTGCTGTGACCTGAAGGGCTGTTGCTGATTATTACTGTTGTTAGCTTTTTAGAATGATAAATTTTATTTTTTATTTTTGCTGCTACTGGACACCTGAATTTCTCCGATGGGGATCAGTGTCTATCTATCTATATATACAATATAAGTAGCTTCTGTGTTTCTTAACTAGCTGTAAATGCTTCATAAGAACAAAAACCAGGGTAAACATCAATATAGCTGCAAGCGAAGGGGAACGGCCTCTCCAAATTCGTGATCACACAGAACGAGGCTTTATTTGTATTAGAGCTGATGCAAGGATTTTTCCATGAAACAAAATTGGGTCTTTCGGTCATCACTACGGCAACAACAAATATGGCAAGAATAACATCTCTAACTTCAGCATAATAAAGAAGCAAGAATCATACTGTATATTCTAGTGCAATTAATATATAGTTTCATGAATACATCTGTACATGTTAGAATGAGGGTCTGGGACACAGTGTGGTTCTATATCTGCACATTCATATTATTGCACAGATTCTGAACATGTGAAGTTTGATGTATACATGTTTTGTTTGAACCGGTGGAACCCTTTGTCTGCAGATGGTCCATCACTCCGCTCATGTACCCCGCCTCCTTCATCTTCTCGGTGCCCAGTACGGCCTACGTCTTCCTCACCTCCATCAACCTCTTCATCGGCATCAACGGCAGCATCGCCACCTTCGTCCTGGAGCTGTTTGTGGACCAGGTGAGCCCTGCTGACCAGAGAGAGGGACCAGAGAGAGGGGCCAGCTAGCGTTTTTTTAGCAAATTTTCAAAACTGGAACAAATCTTGCTTCTCTGACATAAAATGATTTAACAAAGAAAAGTGCATGTACTCAAAGAAGATCACAGTTCAACCCTTATTCAAATCCAATACATTTCATATATATCGATTATCGGCCTCCTCGACACTAACTAAAGCCTAGTTTATACTCGCGCGGCGCGGAGCTTACGGAGGTGACGTGATGTCACTTGCGCAACGCGTTGGTCACCGCAAGGCCCTTACGTTGCCTGCCGCGCAGCATCGACATTTTCTAACTACGTAAGGGTCGCCGCAAGGAATCTCCGCTGTGATTGGTCCGTGTGTGTGTGTATTGGAAGGAAGCATGAAGCAGCTGCAGCAGGGACAATGGACGAGGCACTATGGAGCAGAGAGCTTTGTGCTTCGAAGGAAAAGCAGTTTGGGCTCAGAGCCTGATATACAGGAGACTGTGGACTATCTAACATATATAACTTATATCTAACATATATATAACTTATAAACTGTGCAGTCGTTTGTTTTGCACTGTTCCTGTCTTTGTTTGAATCGTAGCTGCGTTTGTTGCTTTCCTCCTGCACTCGTAAATTGTTCATGTTTGTCTCAGATATTTACCACTATTATTGTTTTGCTGTTTGTGCTGAAAACTATTTAATAATAACCATGTTTCCAACAAGAACTGTGTCTTTATTCACAGCATCACAGTTGAAATGACTTATAAAATACTGAATCCATAAAACTATCACATAAACCTACAGTAGAAACACGTGTAATGAGCTCAAACAGCTTTGTTTGCTATTGTTGTTCTGAAGAGGACAAAGTAGCAGCGTAAATGGGACCGCTCCTGCGTGATCGCCCTCCTGTGGTTTGTTGTGGGATTACAACATTCTCCTCAAAACTCCGTAAGGGGAACGCGCCAGTATAACATCAATTGTGCTTACGTAGGTCCACCGCAACCGCTAACGTAAGCCACGCCACGCAAGTATACACTAGGCTTTAGCCCTGTGAAAACCATGTGGGTCCGGTTCTAATTCTCACATTGTTTTTAAACTTTTCTCGGTTGCCGCAGCATCTGAACGAGGTGAACCGGATCCTGAAGAAGGTCTTCCTGATCTTTCCTCACTTCTGTCTGGGACGAGGACTCATCGACATGGCCAAGAACCAGGCCATGGCCGACGCCTTCCACCGCCTCGGTGAGTTCACTGAGCACCAGGAGGACTGGATCTCTGTCCTATAGTCTAATGTAAAACTGTGTGTATCTGTGCGTGTGTCTGTGTGTGTGTGTGTCTGTGTGTCTGTGCGCGTGTGTGTGTGTGTGTGTCTGTGCGCGTGTGTGTCTGTGTGTGTATTTCAGGAGTGAAGCCGCGCCTCAATCCTCTGGACTGGGACTTCGTTGGGAAGAATCTGTTTGCAATGGCAACGGAGGGAGTGGTCTTCTTCCTCTTCACCGTCCTGCTGCAGTACAAGTTCTTCATCCGCCTCAGGTCTGTGTGACCTGTGTGTAAGCCCAGACCAATCAGCAGTATAGGTCTCTCTCTGGTCTCTCTGGCCTGCCTCTCTCTGGTCTCTCTCTCTCCCTGGTCTCTCTCTCTCTCTGGACTCTCTCTCTTTGGCCTCTCCCTGGACTCTCTCTCTTTGGCCTCTCCCAAGTGTCTCTTTGGTTTCAGTCCTGGGTCCCGGTCACACTGTGGTCCTCTTGTCCTCTGCAGGCCCTGGTGGTGGTGGGTTGAGGTAGAGCTGCCTCCTCTGGGTCCTGAAGATGAAGACGTGGCGAGGGAGAGGAACCGAGTGAAGACCGGGAGAGCACAAGGCGACATCCTCACAATGATGGACCTCAGCAAGGTAGAATAGACTGCTCTCTCATCTTCACAGTAGTTTGATTTGTTTTTTGGAGGACCTTCGATCTCCCATAAGGGACGCCCCAAGGCTTCAGACGTTAGAAACTGCAGCATATTTACAGATGTACTTTTACTCGACATATTTAAGATATTATATCATAAGAGATTTAACACAACATCCCTGGTGCTGTGTTTTATGGACAAAGCTCAGATAAAATGTTAGGGGTCTGTACACCCCCTAACATTATACACCTGTTGCAGGTGTATAATCTGGGGAAGAAGCCCGCCGTGGACCGCCTCTGCCTGGGGATCCCGCGTGGAGAGGTGGGTACAGGGTTTCACACATGTGGTGATGATGGTGACGATGATGATGATGATGATGAGGGCCATTCTCTCCTCCCAGTGCTTTGGGCTTCTGGGCGTGAATGGAGCAGGAAAGACCTCTACCTTTCGGATGCTGACTGGAGACACGGACATCACATTTGGAGAGGCTTTCCTCCAGCAGCACAGGTACACGCGCACGCACACCTGCCACACACACAGACACACACATACCTGCCACACAAACACACACACACACATCTTCCAAGTCTTATGGGCTTCCAGACCTAGCTTTTTATGTTTTAGTTTAAAATCACTTTGCATCACTCTCTGCAGTGTACAGAGGGAGATGGACCGCGTGCACCAGCTCATGGGATACTGTCCTCAGTTTGACGCCATCAGTGACCTGCTGACCGGGCGAGAGCATCTGCAGCTGTACGCCCGACTGAGAGGAGTGAGGGAGGAGCATGTGAGCAAGGTGAGACTGAGGAGAGAGCGGGAAGAGGAGAGAGAGGAGAGAGAGGAGTGAGGGAGGAGCATGTGAGCAAGAGGAGAGGAGGGAGAGAAGGGGAGAGCAGAGCAGCACATGAGCAAGGTGAGACTGGGGGGAAAGACTTATACAGACTGAAGAGAGAGGGGTGAGCATGTTGAGACTGAGGGGATGAGAGGAAGTGAAGGGAGAGACTTGTACAGACTGAAGAGAGGGAGGAGACAGATGGGAGAGGAGCCCGTGATCAAGGTTAGACTGAGGGAGAGTTTTACAAACTGAGGAGAGGGAGAGAGAAGGGAGGAGCATGTGAGACTGAGAATAAATAGTCTTTACACATGAACATATCAAGACTGTATTTCTCATTTAAGACAGTATCTTCACCAGTTTTCACAGGTCTGTATCCCTCTGTCACATCCCCTCTGTGAAAGGGGAGGACCAAACTCACTCTTTCTTAAACAAAAGATGAGGGCTGCATGTAGTGCTCTGTTATGTTGAACATGTGACTCTTTCTGTTAAAGAGGATAAACCGCATGTTATTGATGCGGACATTATTATGAGACAGATAAGTTACGTACCCCAGCTTTAATGTGTGTGTATGCTCAGGTGGCGGAGTGGGGCGTGCAGAAGCTGGGGCTGCTGCAGTACTGCGAGCGAGAGGCAGGAGGCTACAGCGGCGGCAACAAGAGGAAGCTCTCCACCGCCATCTCCCTCATTGGCTCTCCTCCAGTCGTCTTCCTGGTGATTCTACCAAACACTTAAAATCATGTTTCTCTTTTCATTTTGAGTTTTTTCAGAAAAGGCCCAGAGAGAGAGAGAGACCAGAACTAGAACTAGAACAAAGAGCATCTCGATAGAGAGACTAACGAGAGACCAGAGAGCCCAGAGAAAAAGACCAGAGAGAAACCAGATGGAAAGACCAGAGAGACCAGAGAGGATGAGACCATTGTTTGGGATGAACTGGAGGAAGTGCCTGGGGAGAGGACTGTCTCTGCTGACAGCTGCCACCGCAACCCGAAAAAACATGGATGAAAGTTCAAAAGACAAAATGAAACACCAATAATATTCATGTGTGTGTTGTGCAGGACGAGCCGACGACAGGGATGGACCCGAAGGCCAAGAGGTTTCTGTGGAACTGCATCCTAAGCGTGACGAGAGAGGGCCGCGCTGTGGTGCTCACCTCCCACAGGTAGGGGGCGCTATACTCACTGCACACACTAGAGGATATATGGATAAAATATTAGCCCTTATTTCTGGCCATTACAATCATATTTTAGAAAGTGAAATTTATTTTGTGGAAAGTATGTGGTGAAATTAGTATGAAAGGTAAGAATAGCTTTCCATCTGTAACTCCCTTTTCTGCCACCAGAGGGAGCCACAAACAGCCATATGATTGAAAAGAACGTAATTTCACCTGAATGTCTGTCTGTGTGTGTTGTAGTATGGAGGAGTGCGAGGCCTTATGCTCCCGGATGGCCATCATGGTGAATGGCCGATTCCGCTGCCTGGGCTCTGTGCAGCATCTGAAGAACAGGTGGAGGGAGGGGGGGGTTGGGGGTCGGAGGGGGAGAGGGAGGTGGAGGGTGAGAGGGTAGGGGGTGTAGCTCTAATCCTCAAAACCGGACTACATAGGGTGGTGTTCCAAGCAGACTTCTTGTAGCTTTGCCTCAGCACTCACCAGAGAGAGAGATAGAGACGGAGGCCATAGAGACGGAGGCCATAGAGACGGAGGCCATAGAGACGGAGGCCATAGAGACGGAGGCCATAGAGACGGAGGCCAGAGAGACGGAGACCAGAGAGACGGAGACCAGAGAGACGGAGACCAGAGAGACGGAGACCAGAGAGACGGAGACCAGAGAGACGGAGACCAGAGAGACGGAGACCAGAGAGACGGAGACCAGAGAGACGGAGACCAGAGAGACGGAGACCAGAGAGACGGAGACCAGAGAGACGGAGACCAGAGAGACGGAGACCAGAGAGACGGAGACCAGAGAGACGGAGACCCGAGAGACGGAGACCCGAGAGACGGAGACCCGAGAGACGGAGACCCGAGAGACGGAGACCAGAGAGACGGAGACCAGAGAGACGGAGACCAGAGAGACGGAGACCAGAGAGACGGAGACCAGAGAGACGGAGACCAGAGAGACGGAGACCCGAGAGACGGAGACCCGAGAGACGGAGACCCGAGAGACGGAGACCGGACATCACAATGAAACATTAGCAGAGGACCTTGTGCTTCTTCACAATGGTCAAAATGGGGGCGTGGCCTATATACATCCAAATACAGACAGAGCTATCATAAGTACATCTTCTCCCTGTGCTCTTAGTAAGTAATCTTTATTTATATACCGCCTTTCACAGACCAGAGTCACAAAGCGGTTTACAATTGTTATTTTTCTTAAATGCATCTGCCGGCCTTGTCTCAGTATGATGTGGTTTCTGGGGTTTCATGGACTTCTTTTGTCCATGTCTCCGCTCCAGGTTTGGTGATGGCTACACGGTGCTGGTCCGCCTCTCCTCCTCCTCTCCTGCCCAGGATCAGTGTCCGGTTCTGGGGTACATGCAGACACACTTCCCCCGCCTCCAGCTGACGGAGCGGCACCAGAACGTTCTCCAGTTCCAGATGCCCTCAGAGGCTCACTGCCTGCCCCAGCTGCTGCACGGCCTGGCCACCAGCCACGAGGAGCTGGGGGTCCTGGACTTCTCGGTGTCCCAGACCACACTGGACCAGGTACAGACCAGACCAGACTAGACCTGAGCTACAGAGAGTCCAGAGACGGGGTTCAGACCTGTCCACCAGCCACGAGGAGCTGGGAGGTTTGGACTTCTCTATGTTTAAGACTATACTGGACCGGACCAGACCAGACTAGACCTGAGCTACAGAGAGACCAAACTGTACCACCCCGTACTGGACCAGACCAGGTATAGATCAGACCAGGTATAGATCAGACCACAGACCAGACCAGACCCCTGCTTTTAAGGCCAAATGAACATGAATAACACAAACATTCTTTCTCCAGGTTTTTGTAAACTTTGCCAAAGATCAAACCGACGACTGCCTCCCTGATGTGGTCGTGACCAATGGGACGCCACGGGTCACTCCTGAAGCCCCGCCCACAGCCTCTACATCCACTCTGGCTCACCCTGCCCGCATGAGCCTCCCCCTCATCACCCCCCAGGCCCCGGTCACTCCTCCCCCGCGCATCAAGACCCCGCAGAGACCTGGGAGGACCATGGGGAAGGAGAGAGAGGAGAAAGAGGAGAGAGAGAAGGCCCAGAAGAAGGAGGGGAAAGAGGAAAGAGAGGGGAAGGCCCAGGAGAAAAAGAGAGAGGGGAGAGATGAGAGAAAAGAGAAGGCCCAGTCCAAGAGCCAGCATGAGGGGTCCATGGGGGTTCCCCTGGTCCCCGTGTCTCACCCACACTCCAGCAGCAGCAGTGAGGAGGAGGCTGCGGAGCCCGGGAGCAGCGGTCCCAGCCGGAGGAGGCGTCGGCGAAAGCCCAAAGACCCCAAAGACCCCACGGTCCTGTTCAGTGTGGGCGCCAGGTCCACGGACAGCTCAGTGTAGACCTCAGAGTCCACAGTCCAGGGAGAAGGGGTCATGTGGTCTTCCTGACCCTGAACTGTGCCTTCAAACTGGAGAGAGTCTGTTACAGTTCATGAATGTTCTGAAGGGTTTTTGGGAGATTCTCTTTCGACCGGGAGACAGGTTTTCACATCATTTCATGTTATGTCGTTGTCTAGAAACAGCATTTTGGGTTCAGCTTCAGGCAAAATAATCATAATCATACATCGGATTCACATCAATCCTTTTCTGATAGCGTTTTTTCATTCACTCCGTGCTTTGTGCTGATAACCCATGGACAGACGGACAAAAGAAGGCAACTAATCTGTAATCAACACACACACACACACACACCAGATTCATACTAATGTGTGAAGTGTCTTGCCTAAGTACACAACCACAGTTCATCACTTTACAGCTGCCGTCCCACAGCTGCCGTCCCACTGTGGCACCTGGTGTTCCCAGAGGTCTCACATCACAGTACTAACCAGGCCCTGCCCGGCTCTGCTCCCTAGGTTTGCCAGGTATGTGAGGAATAAGAACGGACCAATCGGATGCCTCCATTCGCAGGGAAACTCCAGCTTGTCTTAGCAACACATTTGCGCCTGTAACAGCACCAAGCAGACGCCACAGAACGAATGCCCATATAAGGAAATTGCTACAGCTAACTTAAGTTCAAATCTGCTAACACTCGGCTAACGCTATGGTGATGTCACACTCCGTCAGTACATCTATAGGTCACACCTACTTCTCCCGGTCGATGATATATACGTTTATAATTTAAGTATTTATTTGTGATTGTTTTAAATATTGCACTGTAGTTCATTTAGATGTGAGAAATATAAAAAAGACATGAAGAAGAAAATATCGGACTCTTAACGAACCATGAAAAACTGCATGTTTTTACAGTGTTCTTCACAAACTGTTGATTTCTCACCGTTTGAGTCTGTATTACTGCACGTGACCACAGCGCCCCCCAGTGGATATAAGGCCCAACTCCAGTGTTACTAACCTACGATAGACGTAGTTTAAAGCTGAGCTGAACTGAGATCTAGTGACATGGAGTTCATCATAGAGGCCTGTTGTTGTGGCTTGAAAGTTACGTCCCCGAGCTTTAACAATCATTTAGTGGAACAGAATTCAGAAAACTTTGGATCATGTGTTTGGAAATTTGTCTTCCTGGGATTCACTGCTACTACTACTACTGCTACTGATACTGATACTGCTACTACTACTGCTGCTACTGCTACTACTACTGCTACTACTACTGATACTACTACTGATACTGCTATTGATACTGCTACTACTGCTACTGATACTGCTACTACTGCTACTGATATTGCTACTATTACTACTACTGCTGCTACTACATACAACTGCTACTACTAGTACTACTACTACTGCTCCTGCTAGTACTAGTAGTACTACTTCTGCTACCACTACAGGTGCTACTACTGCTCTTGCTACTACTACTTCTAATACTATCACTACTACTTCTGCTGCTACTTCTACTACAGCAGGACGTCTCCTGCTCGATGCACTTTCAATCTCAGCTTTACGTCTGTCACAAAAATATATTATGGTTAAAAAACTGAACTTTCTGAGAATCTATATTTATAAACTTTTATTGTTACAAAAACAATTCCTTTTCTATTTATTCCACGTCTGTTTTATTCTGTATTTATTCAAAGAGTTGTGTTTAAAATGACCTCATATTGTTTTGTATTTGAACGTCTTTAGCATCAGTGATGTGTTTATCTGCTGAAGACCATGAAGCTGTTGAATGTAGCGACTTTTTCAGGCTCAATGTGGACGAAACTTGAAAAATAAATCTCTTCAATCCAAAAGAGTCGATTGTTTGCACGTTTTTATTTTCAACTATAGTTTAAAAAATGGTAATGAGGTTAGAAACTTCTCTTCTGGCTCCGATCCTGCGATTTTGTGTTAGGGTTTTGTGTGCTTAACCCTTCAGGCACCAAAGGGGAGAAATGCCAGAGAGGAGGAACCTGTGGAATTTTGATCCGCTCTTCTTCAATGACAAAGTTGAAGAATATTGGCAGGAACTGGATTCTGCTGTTGTGTAAAGGCGATCCATAGCACCACAAACATGAGCAACATACAAAGTACTCTGATACTGCTGTTGTGTGTGATGAGAGGGGCTGGGGCCTGGAGCAGGGGGACTTTACAAAGTTGTCGATTTGCCAACTCTGATCAGGGAATCAAATAGTTCAAATATAGGAAATGTGAAGGGAAAAAAAACACCTAGAGCCATTTTTCCATAAGGAGCAGAGACCAATGTCCATAAATGTTGATAAAGTCCATAAAAACTAAATCTAAGCTAGAGTAATACCATCCATCAACCAGAAACGTTAAGGTTGCCACGGAAACCCATCATGTTTTTGCTTTTTTCTGGAAAAAAAAGCCACATTTATTATTTTTGATGCTTGGTTTCACCCTTGAACAAAAACGTAGTTCAAAAACAATGATTTCTGTGTTTTTATTTTTCATGGGACTTTGAAACGTGTGCGACTTGGCGGCGGTGTTTGCTTTGCTGACGTCTGCTCTAGAGGACAATCCCCTTAACGAGATTACAGAGACTCACTCTGATCTGTGGCCTGCTCACCGGCCAATCACAGCGCAGCAGAAACCAGGGAGCGTGACGACCACTGTCCAGGAATTATGTTAAATGTCCTGGATCATCACTGTCGCTGGAAAAATGTGAGAAAACTCTGGGGAGGCCCAGGACTCAGGCTGTAGACCCAGGACTGAGACTGTAGATCCAGGACTGAGGCTGTAGACCCAGGACTGAGGCTGTAGATCCAGGACTGAGGCTGTAGATCCAGGACTGAGGCTGTAGATCCAGGACTGAGGCTGCAGACCCAGGACCTAGGCTGTAGATCCAGGACTGAGGCTGCAGACCCAGGACCTAGGCTGTAGATCCAGGACTGAGGCTGCAGACTCAGGACTGAGGCTGTGGATCATGACGCCAAGGAACAGAGAATAGACTTTTCTTTTGGAAAAATGTCAATAGTTCACGTTCACTGATCCAGATCTGATAAATAGGATTTAAACTAAAGTCCTTTTCCTCTGAGTCCTAATGCAGCCAGCAGAAAGTCATTACCCGTTTCTGCCACTAGATGGGACTGTTGCTGCTTTCTCTTACTCAGCGAGTTTTAATAATCCTGAATATTTGTACTCGAGTTAAAGCTGCGGTATGTAACCTCACTTTGGTTCAAGCTTCTATCACCTCTGTCTGCAGCTCAGAGAGAGTCTTTCTCATGTAGTATGTAAAAGATAAAGTGTTTTGAAAACACAGACTGCATGTTCAATATAGAATATTGAATGTATAAAACTAGGTACCCCAGCTTTAGATCAGATGTATCAATCTATTTACAACTAAAGCCACAACAAGCTTTAGTACCTGGTTCTGTATCCTAGAAACCGACTCACAATAAACCAGTATTTGGGGAATTTCCCTGGTAACCACGGCTTCCAGCAACACTCTGGACAACCACTGTCAGTTAGAACACTTCAGTACCAGCCCGGCCTGGATTGAGATGGTGCAAACAAGGCTTGTTTCTCACTGACTGCAGGAGAACATGAACCAGTGGACTGAGTGGTCTACTTCCTTTGCTTTTCAGCAAGAAGGTCCTGGGTTCGAATCACGGCCTTAACAGGACCTTTCTGTCTGGAGTTTGCATGTTCTTTTCATGTCTGCGAAGGCTTCCTCCGGGTGCTCCGGTTTCCCGTACCACTAAAAACATGTTCTGACTCCCAGAGCTCATGATTACAAGTAACAAGACAGTAACATGTCTCATATGAAGATAAGGTCTGATGTTTTCACAACATTTTACTTTTAAACCACTCGTGTGTTAACAACAGTCAAACAAAAAGGTTCATAAACTCAGCTTTAAGTAAAAAAAAAAAAAAAAAAAAAGGATACACGCTTAATGCAGACTGACGGACACTGTCGTACATCTGTGCAATAATATAGATAATGTCAGAATGTGCAGTTTAGAACCACACGCTGCTAATATGTACAGACAGATGTAAATAAACAGTGTGATACTTGCTAGAGCTTATATACTTACTTCTTCATTATAGCCTCAGCCATTTGTAAACTCCGGTCAACTATAATTTCCTACATGTACGAAATGAAAATTGTACGATGGTGTGGTAAGACCAGGCTATCTTTATTATGCTAAATGTGGAGATGTTATACTTGCTTCTTTATTATGCTAAAGTTAGAGATTTTATGTTATTTTAGTTTTGAGTTATTGTTCAGTTATCTTGTGCTGTGTGCTCCTCATTCCAACTGTGCTCCTCACTCTAACTGCTGATGCAACACTGACATTTCCCGAGTGTTTACGAATCTTCATCATATTTGTGCCGTGGTCATCATGGGCCCCAGGAGCGCGGGCCTCCCCCTGCAGCTCCGGCCGTGCAGCAGCAGCGGCCTCTCTCTCTCAGTCTCTGGGCATCGCTGGAGCAGAGGGAGGAGTGTCTCTGCTCAGTCTCTGCTTTCGACCCGAGAACATGGCTCCTGTCTCCTCCACGCTGCCCTGAGGGACCCTTTTACGGCCCCGGGAGGACGCGATGGACGGGTCCAGCTAAAGCGGAAGAAAGAGCGAGAGAGATAGACAGAGAGAGAGAGAGAGAGAGAAGGGGAGAGAGAGAGAGGAGGGGAGAGAGAGACCCGGGCTGAGGTGGTCTCTGTTTACGTGGTCTGGATCTGGGACGCTCCACGGATATGAGGAGGTCTTATAAGGAAGTTTATCTTGGACTAGAGCGGGACCTGTTTCTTATGAGGTACGTTTCTAGTTTTTCCACTTTTTACACGTTGGCAAAAAAAAGAAGAAAAAGTTGTTTCCTGAAATTAAAAAATAGATATGAGTTTGAAAATATTGAAAGACAAAGTTATAGAAACAAGTCCCAAACTCTGGTCTGAAGCCACGGGAGTCAGCGCGGATCGGAACCGGCTTAAAGGTCCGGTAGTGGCCCGTGCGTAGGGGGTGGTCACGGCTCGCCTTGCCACGGATCTGACTGGTGATGGATGTAAATGTGTTTAAGATAAAAGATTCTTTGTTCGTCCCACGGAGTCTCAAACTGCGCTCTGTGTTGAGAGAATTGTCTTCATGAAAGTTGTGAGTTTTTTTTGTGTTGTGTTTTTAAGAAGCGCAGAGTGACGTACTGTCTGTGAACGTAACGAGATCTAACGTCACCTGCGAGATTCACCGCAACCGAAATGTTTTAGGTCGCGATTAATCGTTATTCTTTATTGAAGTATTTTATTAACAATAAAAACAACAACAAATGTGTATGTGTGTGTGTGCATTTGTAATTGTATTTGTGTGTCTGTGTGTGTGTACGTATGGCTGTGTTTATGTATTTGTATGTGTGTGTGTGTATGTGAGTCTGTGTGTGTCTACTATGTGAGTCTGTGTGTGTGTGTGTGTTTATTCATATTGTGGTGAGTTTGGACTAAAACAACTGTTTACACAATAGTTTAAAGTAACTAGCTTCACTTCCTGTGTTGTGTGTATTCTCCGCTGTTAGCATAAACTGTTTATCAGGAGTGGACCGAGTGTGACATCACAACAGTGTTAGCCTCACTGCGGAAGAAGCTGACTCGAACAATAAGCTAGCTGGTGCCAATTTCCTTATATGGGCATTTGTTTTTGCCGCGTTAGCTTCATGCCTTAACAGCGGCAGGCGTGTTGCTAAGACGGTTGCTACGGAAATTTGACGAACAAAGGCCTCTGATTGGTCGATCCTTACATGGCTCTGGATTTACAAACACAGTCTCAGGATATAAACACCAGGATCACAGCGAGCCCAAGATGGTTTTGTATAAATCAGAGAGAGACAGAGTTAGCATCGTCGCTCTGTGCTCAGTCTGCGGCGTTTCAGTCTGACACAAATATATATAAAAAATATATATTCAAATAAAATACAGATTTCCTCTAAGTCTATTTTTTATGCTTCAGGTTCTGTCTCTGCATTTTTAGAATCCAAGATAAAAACCATTGACCAATCAGATCTCAGCCCAAAGGGTCAACAAGTGACTCACAGGGCCCTTTCTTTGGTTGGTTACAGCACGTTCTGGTCTGAGTGGCCCCTGAGTTCTGACCTGGGCCCTGTGTGTGCTGACCCAGGGCTTGTGCTGACCCGGTCCCTGTGTGCTGACCCGGGCCCTGTGTGCTGACCCAGTCTCTGTGTGCTGACCCCTGTGCTGACCCGGTCCCTGTGTGCTGACCCAGTCTCTGTGTGCTGACCCGGGCCCTGTGTGCTGATCCCTGTGCTGACCCGGTCCCTGTGTGCTGACCCAGTCTCTGTGTGCTGACCCAGTCTCTGTGTGCTGCCCCAGTCCCTGTGTGCTGACCCAGTCTCTGTGTGCTGACCCAGTCTCTGTGTGCTGACCCAGTCTCTGTGTGCTGCCCCAGTCCCTGTGTGCTGACCCAGTCTCTGTGTGCTGACCCGGTCCCTGTGTGCTGACCCAGTCTCTGTGTGCTGACCCGGTCCCTGTGTGCTGACCCGGTCCCTGTGTGCTGCCCCAGTCTCTGTGTGCTGACCCGGTCCCTGTGTGCTGGTCCCTGTGCTGACCCAGGCTCTGACCCTTTTTCCATTGGAGCTACTTTTATAAAACAGAAATGGCAGAGAACTGGGGCCGTCTGGGGGAGTCTTGCACAGTTTTTCCAACATGGTTTTATTGCAAATGGCAAATAAATGTTTGAATATTGAATGAACTTCTGCAGATGTGTTAAACTTGTGGAGAACACGGAACAATGGATTTGGAACGGTTCAAAGGTGAATCTCTCAGGACTCGGGGAGCTTCCTGAAACAGGGTCGTGAGCCACAGGTTGGAGACCCCTGTGTGACCCATGAAAGTCTGTGGTCGTACATGTGAAAACCAGACCTCTGAAGCTAAGCAGGACAGGGCCTGGTTAGTACTGTGATGGGAGACCTCTGGGAACAGCTGTACACACATTGCCATTGCTTAGAATGAGTCTGGTGTGTGTGTGAATGGTTGGTGGAGGTGGGAGGGGTCGATGGCACATACTGATTGCCTCGCTTCTGTCAGTGTGCCCCAGGGCAGCTGTGGCGACAGTAGTAGCCACTGTGTATGAAGTGAAAGAATTATGACATGTGAAGCGTCTTTGAGTGTCCAAATAACGCTATTTTCTAACTGATGTATTATTATTCTCTCCCCTTCCTCTCTGCCCCCTCTCTGCCCTCTCTCTGCCCCCTCTCTGCCCCCCCCCCCCCCCCCCCCCCCTGCAGGGGTGTGAGTTGGCGGCTGGAGGATGCAGGTGAAGCAGCAGAGAGACTCGGAGACGGACTTTACCGCTGACTCTCGGCCAATCCAGAGCCGGAAGAACTCCTCCTGTTTCTCCAACATCAAGATCTTCCTCATCTCAGAATGTGCCCTCATGCTGGCCCAGGGCACGGTGGGGGCTTATCTGGTAGGTACCCCACAACCTGCTGCCCCACTACCTGCCCCACTACCTGCCCCACGACCTGTACCACAACCTGTACCACAACCTGTACCACAACCTGCCCCACTACCTGTACCACAACCTGTACCACGACCTGTACCACAACCAGCCCCACAACCAGGCCCACAACCTGCCCCACAACCTGCCCCCACAACCTGCCCCACAACCTGCCCCACCAACCTGCCCCACCAACCTGCCCCACAACCTGCCCCACCAACCTGCCCCACCAACCTGCCCCACAACCTGCCCCACCAACCTGCCCCACAACCTGCCCCACCAACCTGCCCCACAACCTGCCCCACAACCTGCCCCACAACCTGCCCCACGACCTGCCCCACAACCTGCCCCACACACACACACACGTCTGCCCGCTGGTGACCGCCATATTTTTTCTCACAGTTACTTTTTCCGGTGATTTTGATGCGGTTTTCTTTTGCTGTTCTCGGCCAATGCAGGAGGGTCCAAGGCACAAGTGGGCAATTATTTTAGGGGGGGGGGGGGGGGGGGGCATATTAAATCCATGAGGGAAGGGTGGGGTGGGCAGCTATATTATTTAGAACAGCGAGCTATTCCTTAACCGTCTGAGGTGAAAAATGTCCATTGCATATTCTATCTATATGTCTAGCTATAAGGAGGCGGTGAGCTTCTGGGCGTATGCTAGTGAGTGTAAGCTAGCTAGTGTAAGCTAGTGAGTGTATGCTAGCTAGTGTAAGCTAGCTAGTGTAAGCTAGCTAGTGTAAGCTAGCTAGTGTAAGCTAGCTAGTGTAAGCTAGTGAGTGTATGCTAGCTAGTGTAAGCTAGCTAGTGTAAGCTAGTTTGAAATGTGACAAAGTGTGTATTTTTGAGAAAAAGAAAAGTATTCATAGAAGAGAAGGAGAAACCTGAAAATGTCCAATGTTTATTATATTTTTTTATTTGTATTTATTGACAACATTTATAGACAAGGCTAATTTGCGATGTTAGCTTTTGTGTTTGTGTTTTAGCTAATTTTTTGCCTCTTCCATGATATTTTGTTGAACCTTTTACAGTATGGTCTGAGTCTGAGTCTGTTCCTCCTGTTTTTGTGTTTTCAATGGAAATGAAAACATACCAAGTTGTCAGAGTGGAGCCTCAATCCCACTCATGAAGTTGCAAACCGTCTCTGGGCATTGACTCTCGTTCATTTCACTGCAGAGACGGTTTCACTTTCCCAGGTCCGGTCGTTCATTAACATTTACAGCTCCCTCTGGACCAACGGCTCCTCTGTGTTTGTTGTTATTGCATTTCCTGTGTTGGAACGGTTTGATTCTCTGGTCTGTTGTTGGAGAATCCACTGGTGCACTCTGCCGGACTCTTGTACAGTTATTCCAACATGGTTTTACTGCAAACGGCAAAGAAACTGAATCTTGAATCTTGGGTTTGTAGAGTTTAACCCGCAGAGGAACAGAGGCATCACTTTATAGATGTACTTTTTACTTGTGATGACAGACGACCAGAAGTGTCTAGAAAGGCGCCTCAGAAATAAAATGTAAGATTAACATTATGATTACAGAGGCCTGACTTTCAACTTGTTTTTAAGTCGGACTGACAGCAGCTTTTCGCACACGTCCTCCCCATAGACATAGAGTGTAGGAGCCCAAAATGGTGAGTTTTACAAAATATAAAAAGTGAATTTGGTCTTATCAGCTGGTATCTGCATCCGACAACAACAGCTGATAAGTCAAACCATCACATGTTTCTGACGAAGCCGGACGCAGTTCTGGCTTCTTTACATTTTTTATCTTAGAAACATCTTAGATCTTCACATCTAAGTCTATAGGAGCCGGAAGGAGATGGAGAAAAACTTCCCTTTTGGGCTTCATTGAGCTATGTATAAGCTATATATATCTATTGTGGCGCCACCTGCAGGTGAAATCCAGAACCCGTCAGACTTCTGAAGCTGTGCAGGGCAGGGCTTGGTTAGTGTTGTGATGGGAGACCTCTGGGAACAGCAGGTGCCACAGTCTGTTTACAGTCGGTGGTATTTACAGAAGTTGCAGATTTATATCAGTGAATACAGTGTGGGTTTGGACCAGTGGAGGCGGGTAATCTGACTCCTTGCCGGTGGTGGTGTACAGGAAACAGAATTATCCAATGAATTCTTATGGCCCCTTCTTTCTTCTCAAAAACAGCTTTGCAGCCTGGTCCAAAAGTTACTTTTGGCTCAACGCTGCGATCCAGATTCTGTCAATGCTACGGATTTTTTTTCTTTTGGACCACTCTAGTTTAGCAGCTGTGGCCTTCCGAACAAATGTATTAAATTAACACTATTTGCAAATTAATAAGCCTTCGCTCCCAAAGTGTTTTTTTGTCACCATTTTCCTGTGGGAGGGGCTACTCGCAGCCATTTTTAAAGGTACAGTGTACATATTGATCACATACATTTCAAGGGGGGAAGTAGGCGTCACTACGTCTGCTAATATTTACTCTCTATAGTTTGAACACACACAGACGTCTGCAGTAGTGAACAGTATTTGTTAGTTCTGTATGTCAGGGTTGGGGTTAGATGCCTCAGGTGTTTGCTCACCTGCAGCTGTCTCGCACAGAACCCATAATTGTAGCTCAAACAAACCAAACCAGTCCAGCCACGAGCCCCAGCGACGTCATCTGTGGTGTCGGGACTTAGCTTCTGCCTGGAGCTGGGTTTCAAAAGCGTCATGAGGCTGAGTGAGCTAACCCCGAGCTAACCCTGAGCTAACCCTGAGCTACCCCTGAGCTACCCCTAAGCTAACCCAGAGCTAACCCAGAGCTAACCCAGAGCTAACCCCGAGCTAACCCCGAGCTAACCCAAGCTATCCCTTGAGCTTTGATTTTGATGTTTGATGCATTTAAGCCATCTCTGCTGGTGTGAGCTCTGCTGGTGTGAGCTCTGCTGGTGTGAGCTCTGCTGGTGTGAGCTCTCCTGGTGTGAGCTCTGCTGGTGTGAGCTCTCCTGGTGCGTCAGAGCAGCTCAGTGATGTTCCAGACCAAATAAGGAGTGAGCCGGTCCCCTGCTCTGGCACAGGGACCACAGTCTCAGTCCTTCACCCTCGACTCATGGACTGAACTATGATCCTGGTTTTTCCTCTCTCTGGTCTCTCTCTGGTCTCTCTCTGGTCTCTCTCTGGTCTCTCTCTGGTCTCTCTGTCTGGTCTCTCTCTCTGGTCTCTCTCTCTGGTCTCTCTCTCTGGTCTCTCTCTCTGGTCTTTCTCTCTGGTCTTTCTCTCTGGTCTCTCTCTCTCTGGTCTTTCTCTCTGGTCTTTCTCTCTGGTCTTTCTCACTGGTCACTCTTTGGACTCTTTCAGGTCTCTCTCTGGTCTCTCTCTCTGGTCTCTCTCTCTGGTCTCTCTCTCTGGTCTCTCTCTCTGGTCTTTCTCTCTGGTCTTTCTCTCTGGTCTTTCTCTCTGATCTTTCTCTCTGGTCTTTCTCTCTGATCTTTCTCTCTGGTCTTTCTCACTGGTCACTCTCTGGTCTCTCTCTGGTCTCTCTCTCTCTGGTCTCTTTCAGGTCTCTCTCTGGTCTCTCTCTGGTCACTCTCTGGTCTCTTTCAGGTCTCTCTCTGGTCTCTCTCTCTAGTCTCTTTCAGGTCTCTCTCTGGTCTCTCTCTCTCTCTCTGGTCTCTCTCTGGTTTCTCTCTGGTCTCTCTCTCTCTCTCTGGTCTCACTGGTCTCTCTCAGGTCTCTCTCTGGTCTCTCTCTGGTCTCTCTCTGGTCACTCTCTGGTCTCTTTCAGGTCTCTCTCTGGTCTCTCTCTCTGGTCTCTTTCATGTCTCTCTCTGGTCTCTCTCTCTCTCTCTCTGCTCTCTCTTGGTCTCTCTCTCTCTCTCTCTCTCTCTGGTCTCTCTCTAGTCCCTTTCAGGTCTCTCTCTGGTCTCTCTCTCTCTGGTCTCTCTCTGGTCTCTCTCTCTCTCTCTCTGGTCTCTTTCTGGTCTCTCTCTGTTCATTCTGTAAATTGTTGTTGTTTTGACACAAATCCATCCTTCTTACAGCGGTTACTTTGCCCTACTCTGCCACTTGTTTATTTTTCACTTTTCCCAAACTACTTTCACTCATCACTGTTTATGTAACATATTTTTGTTATCTGTAAGAAAGGGGCGTGTCCTTGTCGGCCAATGGGTGGAGCTAGAACAGGTTGTGGGTGGAGCCACAGGTGACCTCCATCAGGCTGAAGTGCCCCACAGTGTTTTGTTTAATGTATTTTTCAACCAAAGTCTGTTCCTAAAAGAAAGTTTCTTCAATGACTGTAAAGGGGCGGAGCCATGGAAGGCCAGCACCATGATGTGGAGGAGGGAGAGGAGGAGGAGGAGGGGGAGGAGGAGGAGGAGGAGGAGGAGGAGGAGTGCACTGGGGCATAGAGGAGGAAGAGGAGTGAGGTCGTCAGTTTGTCTGTAGTGGGTGCGGCAGGAACAATGCATACCCTGTTGTGGCGCAGGCTCTCTCCTCCCCTCTCCCCTCTCCCCTCTCCTCTCTCCTCTCCTCTCTCCTCTCTCCTCTCTCCTCTCTCCTCTCCTCTCTCCTCTCCCCTCCCCCCTCTCCTCTCTCCTCTCTTCTCTTCTCTTCTCTCCTCTCTCCTCTCTCCTCTCTCCTCTCTCCTCCCCTCTCCCCTCTCCCCTCTCTCCTCTCCCCTCTCCCCTCTCTCCTCCCCCTCTCCCCTCTCTCCTCTTCTCCCCTCTCTCCTCCCCTCTCCCCTCTCTCCTCTCTCCTCCCCTCCCCTCTCTCCCCTCTCCCCTCTCCTCTCTCCTCTCTCCTCCCCTCTCTCCTCTCTCCTCTCCTCTCTCCTCTCCCCTCTCCCCTCTCCTCTCTCCTCTCTTCTCTTCTCTTCTCTCCTCTCTCCTCTCTCCTCCCCTCTCCCCTCTCCCCTCTCTCCTCTCCCCTCTCTCCTCCCCTCTCCCCTCTCTCCTCTTCTCTCCTCTCTCCTCCCCTCTCCCCTCTCTCCTCTCTCCTCCCCTCCCCTCTCTCCCCTCTCCCCTCTCCTCTCTCCTCCCCTCTCTCCTCACTCCTCTCTCCTCTCTCTCTCTCCTCCCTCCTCTTTCCTCGCCTCTCCCCTCTCCTCTCTTCTCTCCTCTCCCCTCTCTCCTCTCTCCTCTCTTCTCTCCTCACTCCTCTCTCCTCTCCTCTCTCCTCCCTCCTCTTTCCTCGCCTCTCCCCTCTCCTCTCTCCTCTCCTCTCTCCTCTCCTCTCTCCTCTCTTCTCTCTTCTCTCCTCTCTCCTCTCTTCTCTCTTCTCTCCTCTCTCCTCTCTCCTCCAGCTGTGATTTCAGACTTTGACTTTTGTGATGTGGACGGTTCTGAAACAGGACAGGGTTAAAGGAGCGGAAGCCGTCTGTGTTCTGCAGTGATGAAGATGAAGATGAACGCTGGAGAACAGCCAAAGCCAGTCATTTCCTCCGCTCATTATCCAATTAGACGAGAGCAGCCTGGCCCTCTGTGTGTGTGTGTGTGTGTGTGTGTGTGTGTGTGTGTGTGTGTGTGTGTGTGTGTGTGTGTGTGTGTGTGTGTGTGTGTGTGTGTGTGTGTGTGTGTGTGTGTGTGTGTGTGTGTGTGTGTGTGTGTGTGTGTGTGTGTGTGTGTGTGTGTGTGTGACTCCTTTAGGAAAACAATGTACTTTTGATTAGATTTTTTTAAGACTTAGGAGCATCATTAACACCAACTGAGTTTTACTTTACCGCGACCCGGCAATGGATAAAGCGGGAGAAAATGGATGGATGGAGTTAGTTGTTATCTTTCGTGCCCGTGAAGCACTTTGGCAGCTGGTGTTGATGTTCAATACAAATAAAGCCGACATTGACGTTGACAAAATAGCACTAATAATTCAGTTTTTTCATTTTTTATTTTTTCAACCCCTAGTTTTCTTTAATTATAAGCCTAATGCAGACAGGTCAAACTCAGGCTTGTGGGCCAAATCCGGCCGCAAGACAATTTTCAGTGGCCCCTAAAATGATTTTCGATGGGCTATATTCACGGGGAGGCGTGATGTCATTTCCTGTTAACAAAGACCAGCCCGTCCACTTCCTGCCGATGCTATCCTATGGCTTTTAGGTGGGTTTTAGTGATGTTTTTTAGTAATTAGATTGATACATTCAGCTGAGACTGACCCAAAAGTGTCGCTGTGCTTTCTCTCTGAGGTAGAGCTTTGACTGTGGCCACTCAGAGAGATTTGTAAACTTTATAAAAACACAACGACAGCGCAATCAAAGAGCACTGCTGTGTCCCAAAAATGCCCATTATCCTCAGAGTTTAATTCCAGTTTGAGCATTATTTGGGAAACTCATGTAAACCACTGCTGAACTCCAGTGAAACTCAAGCCGTTTCCCGCGAACAGGAAGTGAAGTGGGGCAGTAGCTAAAACGCGGAAGTGGTGCATAGAGCCCATTATTATCATTAACCTGCAGCATTGATGGTGATGGACCATGGCATGTTATACCTCATCTATTCTCTCCGGAAAACAACCACTTTTTATTCATTCCAAAATTAGAAGTTAAATAGTTAAATATAAATCAATGTGTTTAACTTTATATTTGGAACAGTTTTGGCTAGATCCAAAAATAAACAGTGAAATTTGTGTCATTTAAAGGTTTTTAGGAAAGAACCGTCGTCTCCACTTTTTGAACAAAACTCTCTGGTCTTATTGGACGAGCATGTATCAGCAGAATGATTGACAGTTGGGAGGACCAATAGTCTTGATGATCCACCCGGGAGTAGAACATCCTCCTCTATACCTTTAAAAGTCATGTCCAACAAATATCGTCATAATGTGAAACACAATCATAAGAAAAAAAAATGTCTTCTAGTCTTTCGGCTCTGACCAGTTCCTTTTCTTTTACTCTGCCCCAGACCAGGATGAGTCCTCTGAGCTGATGGTGAGGTGTAGTTTGATGGTAAAGTGCCTAAAACCATGTGACGGAGATGCAACAATGAGGGAGGTTTAGTCCGAGGTTTGAGTCGGTGCCAAGACTCAAAAAGTGATTCACAAAAAGTCGAGGAAAGAATTAAAGTGAAGAGTCTGGTTTCTGCTGCGGTCGAGGCTCAGACACTTTGGTCTGAAGAGCAGAGGCCTGAGCTGCTTATGTCTGACCACACACACACACACACACACACACACACACACACACACACACACACACACACCGTACAGGCCGCACACATCACACAAACAGGAATACACCCACACTGCACAGACCGCACACACACAACACACACACACACACGCACCATACAAACAAGATTAGTCTGACCCCCCTGATTCTTATTCTATCTTCTGTGTTGGATCTGCTTGATTCTCTGATCATTTTGGTGAATAAACAACTTAGTAAATGACTGCAGTTCTGATCCAGGAGTAAACACAGTTACATTGAATTGAATTAAACCAGTTTGTGCCTCCATCATTCAGGCTCATTGTAGATGGTGGTGAAGTGTCTTGTGTGTATCAAGACACACTGAGTTTTCCAGAGGTCTCCCATCACAGCACTAACCAGGCCATTCCCTGCTTAGCTTCAGAGCTCTGACAGGATATGGTTTTGCAGTTGTTTATAAAAGTGACATGAAACAGCTGCTGTTTGAAATGTGAGCTCTGCACATCTGTGGGAAACAATGTCACATGGCTCTGCTTTGGTTGGTTGCCAGGCAACACATTAAACAGTGTGTGTGTCTGTCTGTCTGTCTGTCTGTGTGTGGGTGTGTGTGTGTGTGTCTGTGTCTGTGTGTGTGTGTGTGTGTGGGTGTGTCTGTGTGTGTGTGTCTGTGTCTGTGTGTGGGTGTGTCTGTGTGTGTGTGTCTGTGTGTGTGTGTCTGTCTATGTGTGGGTGTGTCTGTGTGTCTGTGTGTCTGTGTGTGTGTGTGGGTGTGTCTGTGTGTGTGTGTCTGTGTCTGTGTGTGGGTGTGTCTGTGTGTGTGTGTGGGTGTGTCTGTGTGTGTGTGTCTGTCTATGTGTGGGTGTGTCTGTGTGTCTGTGTGTCTGTGTGTGTGTGTGGGTGTGTGTGTGTCTGTGTGTGTGTGTCTGTGTCTGTGTGTGGGTGTGTCTGTGTGTGTGTGTCTGTGTGTTTGTCTATGTGTGTGTGTGTCTGTGTGTGTGTGTGTGTGTGTGTGTCTGTCTATGTGTGTGTGTGTGTCTGTCTATGTTGCTGTGTCTTTGTCTGCCTGTGTCTGTGTCTGTGTTTGTGTGTCTTATTTTAGTAAATAATTAAAGCCATAAGTTCACCAAAGTAGTATCATGTGGCCATACTGGAAGCTAAGCAGTGCAGGTCCTGGTTAGTACTGTGATGGGAGACTGCGGAAATACCATCTTCTAAATTGCAGTTGTGTTCGTGGGCAAATTGTTTTCTCTCTGATAATGTATGTAGTGTTTGGTCATGTGACATCACCTGCTTCAACCTGGTACAGTGCATCTCTCCTTTTGGCCAATGTTTATCGTACACTGTCCTTGTAAAAGTAAAAACCATGCCGTACCCTTGCGTACCCTTGCATACCCTTGCATACCCTTGCATGCCCCTGGTTGGGAAGCCCTGAGGTACAGTGTGGCCTTGCTCTATATCTGCAGCAGCTGTAACCAAAGACCAGTGGTGTCAGACTCGTATTGGCTCGAGGCCGAGCGACAAAATAGGATCTGGTCCAAGCCAAAAGAATAAATTATATCTGTTTTTGTTTATTTTTACATATTTTACTTTACTTTTTTTTTGTCATATTTATTTATTATTTAAATTTAACCAAAACTGGACAGAATATGAAGTCAAATATGTTGGTTTATAATGATAAAATTTTTAGAATAAATGAAATGCGGTTGTTTATCTGAGAAAACAGATGATGTATAACAGGCCATGGAAGTCCAGCACCATCAATGCAGAAATTGTCCCGGATTTAGCCTGAATCGAATCAATTTAATGTATTCTTGTTTAGCCCTAAATCACAGCAGTATTTTTCTCACAGGACTTTACAAAACTGCTGATTTCTCCGACACAGATCAGAGAATCAAATATTTAAAACACAGGAAATGCAATGTTTAAAAACACAGAGTCATGGGTCCAAAAGGAGCAGAGACCAACGTCCATAAATGTCTAATGTGGAGCGTCCTGGATCCTCGCCACACGCCTGCCTTAGACTGTAAATATCATCTCCTCTCTTCTCTTCTTCTGGTCCAGTTTTGGTCCAATCCTCTGTAACTGAACTCATTTTGTTCCGAAAAAAAAACCCAGAAAGAAAACCCAATGTAACTAATGTAAAATATGTATAACAAAAGAAAACCAGTTTATCCTTTGGACCCCAACATAAATGAGGTTAACACCGATGGTTCCTCTGTTCTTATTGAATCTTCTGAGTTGGATCTGCTTGATTCTCTGATCATTTTGGTGAATCGACAACTTTGTAAACGGCTGCTGTTGTGATCCACATTGGATTGAACCATTTGTGCCTCCGACCTCCATCATCCAGGCTCACTGTAGAGGATGGAGGTGAAGTGTCTTGCCCAAGGACACACTGACATTTTGGCTCTTTACAGCATGCTTTACAGAGGTCTCCCATCACAGTACTAACCAGGCCATTCCTGCTTAGGCAAGGCAAGTTTATTAGTATAGCACAATTCATACACAAGGTGACTGTAAATGCTGAACAAAAAAAGACAGCATTAAAATCAAAAATATAAAATCCCTCAGTTGGTGCAGAAGCAGAACTGTTTTTAACCTGGATTTAAACATTCTCAGAGAAGAAGCCTGTCTCATATTTTCAAGAAGACTGCTCCAGATGCATGAATCTGAAACATAGCCTCCCCATAGTTACAGAGGTCTGTCAGGATGTGGTTTCACCTGTAAATCTGAGGGTGTAAAACTTTTATACTTATTTTTTTATTATTATTATGTTCAAGATAGAGATGTTTTACTTGTTATTGATGTTAAAGTGACAGATTTTGTTTTATTTTAAATACTATAGAGCAGTGTCTCCCAAGGGGCCCCGAGGGTATTGCAAGGGGGCCGTGAGAAGTCATCAATTTATTTTTATTTTTTTATAATTGTTGTACGTTAAATTTATAAGATTTTGTTGGCACTATTAAAATATTTGTGTTCATTATTTGACTTGAATAATCAAATTGGAATCATTTTTGTATTTTGTCTTTTGTGCGTCATTTTCATGTTTGTATTTCCCCCAAATAAAATAACAAGAAGAGCCTGTTTTTAACGTTGTCTTCTTGGTTATTATTTCGGGGGCCGTGCAGACTTTAAGGGGGCCGCGGTGTTACTGACTTTGGGAATGGCTGGTATAGAGCTATTGTTCACTTATCGTGTGCTTCTCATTCCTACTGTTCTACAACTTGTGATGCAACACTGACATTTCCCCGCTGTGGGACCAATAAAGGATCTCTTCATCTTAATCTTACCCCGCTGCGCCCCCTGCAGGTGAGCGTGCTGACCACCCTGGAGCGCCGCTTCAGCCTGCAGAGCGCCGACGTGGGCGTGATTGCCAGCAGCTTCGAGATCGGGAACCTGGCCCTCATCCTGTTCGTCAGCTACTTCGGGGCCCGCGCGCACCGGCCCCGCCTCATCGGTTGCGGGGGCATCGTCATGGCTCTGGGGGCGCTGCTGTCGGCCCTCCCAGAGTTCCTCACCAGTCAGTACCAGGTGGGCAAGACCTGGCGCTCGGACGCAGGGCGCGAGGTGTGCTCCAACAGCAGCCGCGGGGCCTTAGAGGAGGACAGTGCGTGTGACGGCAAAGCCAACACCAACATGATGTATCTGCTGCTGATCGGGGCCCAGGTGCTGCTGGGGGTGGGGGCCACGCCGGTGCAGCCGCTGGGGGTGGCCTACATCGACGACCATGTGCGCAAGAAGGACTCCTCGCTCTATATAGGTATGTACCATAGACTGTACGTACCATAGACTGTACGTACCATAGACTGTACGTACCATAGACTGTATGTACCATAGACTGTATGTACCATAGACGGTACGTACCATAGACTGTATGTACCATAGACTATGTACCATAGACTTTACGCACCATAGACTGTATGTACCATAGACTGTATGTACCATAGACTGTATGTAACATAGACCGTACGTACCATAGACTGTACGCACCATAGACTGCATGTACCATAGACTGCATGTACCATAGACTGTATGTACCATAGACTGTACGTACCATAGACTGTATGTACCATAGACTGTATGTACCATAGACTGTATGTACCATAGACCGTATGTACCATAGACCGTACGTACCATAGACTGTACGTACCATAGACTGTACGTACCATAAACTGTACGTACCATAGACTGTATATACCATAGACTGTATGTACCATAGACTGTATGTACCATAGACTGTTCGTACCATAGACTGTATGTACCATAGACTGTATGTACCATAGACTGTACGTACCATAGACTGTACGTACCATAGACTGTACGTACCATAGACTGTACGTACCATAGACTGTACGTACCATAGACTGTACGTACCATAGACTGTACGTACCATAGACTGTATGTACCACAGACTACGTACCATAGACTGTACGCACCATAGACTGTACGCACCATAGACTGTACGCACCATAGACTGTACGTACCATAGACTGTATGTACCATAGACTGTTGTTTGCACTAATGGTTGTTTTAATGGTTACATTATGTTGCTGGTTGTGTGGCTGTTTGTACTAATGGTTGTGTTGTGCCTGTATGTCCCATTTTCTTCTTGCCCACGTACGCACGCACACACACACACACACACACACACACACACACACACACACACACACACACACACACACACACACACACACACACACACACACACACACACACACACACACACACACACACACACACACACACACACACACACACACACACAGCTGTTGGTCAGTATTTCCATGTCAAACAAATTACTTCTGAAATGGACGTGGAAAATGTTTTGCGTCAGAGGAGCTGCTGTAGAGCTGTGTCACATTTTAATTTTTTTTCTGACAAAACTCAGACAGATTTTATTGATACTTGTTCAAAGTGCGGGTTGTGGTTTGAAAGTGACTTGACCTGACCAGTCTGTCCTCTTTTCTCCTCTGGTCTCCTCTGGTCTCCTCTGGTCTCCTCTGGTCTCTCTCTGGTCTCTCTCTGGTCTCTCTCTGATCTCTCTCTGATCTCTCTCTGATCTCTCTCTGATCTCTCTCTGATCTCTCTCTGGTCTCTCTCTGATCTCTCTCTGATCTCTCTCTGGTCTCTCTCTGGTCTCTCTCTGATCTCTCTCTGATCTCTCTCTGATCTCTCTCTGGTCTCTCTCTGGTCTCTCTCTGGTCTCTCTCTGGTCTCTCTCTGATCTCTCTCTGATCTCTCTCTGGTCTCTCTCTGGTCTCTCTCTGGTCTCTCTCTGATCTCTCTCTGATCTCTGTCTGATCTCTCTCTGGTCTCTCTCTGGTCTCTCTCTGGTCTCTCTCTTGTCTCTCTTTGATCTCTCTCTAGTCTCTCTCTGGTCTCTCTCTGGTCTTTCTCTGGTCTCTCTCTGGTCTTTCTCTGGTCTTCTCTGGTCTTCTCTGGTCTCTCTCTGGTCTCTCTCTGGTCTATAACATCAGAAAGAACAGTATCAGGTTGTGTCCCCTTTAAGTTTGAGTTGTTCAGGAGAGTGTGACATCACATGTGTTTCCCAACTGTTTAGGAAGTGTGCACATCTGCAAGTACACACACAGACGCACACTGAGAGACACACACACACAGACACACCCCCACAGACACACATACCTTCACACAACCCCCCCACACGTAGACACACACACAGCAGTGGTGGTTACTTCAGACTGGATCGCCTGCATAGCTGCCATACCTCTGCTGACTGGTGACGTCTGCTCTATCCGCCTGTTTCTATTCCAGCTTCACAACATAACACAAACACACACACCCCAAACACACACACACACCTCAAACACACACACACACCCCAAACACACACACACACCACCTGTCGGGCTGAAAACGTAGATAGATTCCTTGGCTCTGGATAGAATTCTGAAATAATTTGTTAAAGGTGTTTGGTGTCTTCCAGCACTTGGGTTGATTTCACCTCCAGGCCTTTCTGTGTGGAGTTTCTATGTTCTCCCTGTGTCCGCGTAGGTTTCCTCCGGGTGCTCCGGTTTTCCCTACCACTGAAAACACGAACAATTGGTCTGGCATGCTTCTCCTGTAGTCGACCCCGCTCCCATCTCCCAACGGCCATAACAGTTGTACAGCTCTTCGTGACTCTGGTCTGTGAAAAGCGCTCTATAGATAAAGACGACTTCTACTTACACCCATTTCCTCTGTAGTCTGGTGTGCTCCTGCTTGGTTGGAATGAAAACCTGCAGCCACACCGGCCTTTGAGGACCGTTTTGACACCCCAGGTCTAGCCCGACATACGACACATACATTCTCAGTATAAAATCAATGGTGTCCAATGAGTGTGTGTTCTGTTGTTGTTGTTGTGTGTGTGTGTGTGTGTGTGTGTGTGTGTGTGTGTGTGTGTGTGTGTGTGTGTGTGTGTGTGTGTGTGTGTGTGTGTGTGTGTGTGTGTGTGTGTGTGTGTGTGTGTGTGTGTGTGTGTGCACTTGTTTTCAACTCCTGGTGGGTTCCATAACCTGAGATTCCACTCACGTCATGGGGACTGGTTTTACGTGGTGGGGCCCGAACACCGGACCCCACTGGTCCAAGCTTAATAATCAATGGGTAATGCTTTTCTAACGGTCCTTATGCAGTCTCTGTAAAAATATGGAAAGGACCCCTGGAGGTTTACTTTCCTGAAAAAAGTGTGTTATGTGTCGGAACCCTGGTGGTGGGTTGCGGGATATCAAGGAGGGGCACACTGGGGCAATTTCAGTCCAGCAGGCTGGAGCCAATCATGGAGCAGCACAACAGAGGAAATCAGGTGTCAGGCTAGAAAAGGTGCAAGTGTGTGGTTCATTAGGCTGCAGCCAATCACAGAGCAGCACACTGAAGCGCACGCTTACAAACCACTGGTAAGTGCTGACTACAAGTCATGACTTCAAATTGTTATATAGAATGATTACAAATTATTTGTTGTTTGTGCAGCTTAGTCAAGAGTCCCTAATTGATGAAGTCGACTCAGATTCTGACGATTTAACTGTCAAGAAGAAACCTGTAAAAAAGTATGGAAAAAGAAAAATCAAAAACACTTTTCTTCAAGACTCGGAAAGTGACGAACCAAAGGCAAATAAGGATTGTTATCATGCAGCTGCAAAAGAAGAAAAATGGGGGGCGAGTATACAGCAAGAGACACTTCTGCCTCTACTGTTCAATGTCCTGCCACAAAATGTCCCGTCATTTGACTAGAAAACATGGAAATGAAAGTGACGTAGCCAGAGCATTGGCTCTACCTGTGAAATCTAAAGCACGTAAACTTCAGTTTGATTTGATCAGGAATAGTGGAAACCGTGAGCACAATTTTGAGGTTTTAAAGGCCGGCATTGGAACTTTAGTCCCAGCTAAACAGCCAAATTCCCCAGTTAAATCCAGTGAGTTTTTGCACTGTATAGACTGTGGGGCATTGCTTAAGCGAAAGTCGCTGTGGAGGCATGTGGCCAGGTGCCGGCTTTCACAGAAAGATGCCCAGGCTAAACCAGGTAGAAGTAGGGTCCAGTCCCTCTGCTCCCTAGCCCAGCCTGTACCGGAGGGCATCAGCAAAAAGCTGTGGTCTTTAATTTCGGCAATGCATCAGGATGAGGTCACGGGTGTTGTCAAAGCAGAAAAGGGGATTCTGAGACTCGGAGAGCACCTGTACTTAAAACACGGGCATGATAAGACAAAGCATGATTACATTAGGCAGAAAATGAGAGAAGTCGGTAGGTTAATTAACGAAGCAAAAACCGCAGGGAAACTGAAAACAATGAAGGATTTCTTTATTCCTTCCAACTTTAACCATGTGATTGATGCAGTCAGGTCTGTGGCTGGATATGATGAGGAAACAAATCAATACAAGACTCCATCCTTGGCCCTCAAACTCGGCCATAGCCTCAGAAAGCTAGCAGATATTCTTGAATGTGACTCAAAAATGGAGCATTGTGTTGATGAACTATTTATTAAAAACCTCCAACGAAGCCGGCTGCTTTTTGAGAAGAGGTGGGACGTCTGTGTTTCTTCTGCTGCCCTACAGACCCTCCGGCAAGCCAAGTGGAACACTCCGGACCTGCTCCCTCTGACTGAGGACGTTAGAGCCATGCATGCACATATTGAGGTATGTCGACCTGAATATGTGCAAACCCTAATAAGTGAGCCAACGTCTAAGCATTGGTCTAAACTGGCAGTTTTTGACTCTTTGTGAGGTCATCATTTTCAATCGAAGAAGGGAAGGTGAGGTTTCAAAGATGCCACTGACAGCCTTTACCTTAAGAAGTAAGACTGGGATCCATTCTGACATTGCTCTGGGACTGTCCCAACTTGAGAAAAAGCTGTGTCAGCATTTTCAACGCATTGAAATTAAAGGGAAAAGAAGTGGGAAAGTGCCGGTTCTTTTGACTCCTGAAATGATTGCTTGGATGGAGGTGCTGGTGGAGAACAGAAGGGCCTGTTCCATCTCTGACCATAACCCATACTTCTTTTCCCGCCCGGGCGCAGACACCCACATCAGGGGATCAGACTCCCTACGCCAGGTAGCCAAAGAATGTGGTGCGGTGCATCCAGAGATGCTATCCTCAACCAAACTTAGAAAGCACATAGCTACTATGTCTACAGTTCTCAATATGAAAGAGAATGAGATGGACATACTTGCCAACTTCCTCGGCCATGACATTCGCATCCACAGGCAATATTACAGACTACCAGAGGGGACACTGGAGCTGGCCAAAATCAGCAAAGTGTTGATGGCCATGGAGCAGGGAAGAGTGACGGAATTCGAAGGAAAGAGCCTCGACCAGATACAAATTGAGCCTGAAGGTAATTCTTGATATTATTAAAATATGTATGATTTTTTTCCCCTAAAGGCCACTTGTATTTTTATTTTCTGTGCGACAGGGAGAGCAGTAGAGATCCTCTCACAAACGGACGGGCTAAAAGAAACTTCAAGCGGAGAACCTTCAACCATTCATCCAGATGCACCCCATGGTAGTGGCAGTGCCCCTTCTGGTAAGTGTACCAGGTGGGGGATTACAGCCAGGCTGCTTGGTCCTCACCCTGGGAGTGTATATTGCTAATATATTTTTATTTCTCTCCCTAGAACGTGTAAGAAAGCCATGGTCTGCATCTGAGGTGAAGGCTGTGGAGAAGACCATGACACCTTTCATACAGACTGGAAAGGTCCCTGGGAAGTCTCACTGCCTGGCCTGCATTAATGCCTCACCAGATGACCTTAGACATCGGACATGGAGTGGCATTAAATTCTATGTCAAAAATAGAATCACTGCAATTCGAAAACAAAATCTAAAATAAAATTCCTTTAAAATAGTTGTTTGGTTTCTATTGACTGTTTTGTATTACTTAAAGTCTTGGTAAAAAAAGATTATGTCTATGGGTCCCATTCTGAACGGCCCTGTCAAAGGGACCCACCAGGTAACAAAAACGTGTATGTGTGTGTGTGTGTGTGTGACAGCTGCACACAGAGGCTGAGCTGATGGTTCTAATCCCTGCCCACCGTCATGTGCCCAGGAGCATGAATGAAAGGCCTGTGTGTGAGGACCTCGTGCTTATTCATGAGAACCAACATTTCCCTCTGCCCCGGGACACCAGCTCATGTGACATCTGTATAGCCCTGTTTCCACCGGCCCCACTCTACTCTGCTCTGCTCTGCTCTACTCTACTTGGCGCTACTCTACTTGGCGCTACTCTACTCTGCTCTACTCTACTCTACTCTACTCTACTCTACTCTACTCTACTCTACTCTTCTCTTCTCTTCTCTTCTCTTCTCTTCTCTTCTCTTCTCTTCTCTTCTCTTCTCTTCTCTTCTCTTCTCTTCTCTCTCTGCTCTGCTCTGCTCTGCTCTGCTCTGCTCTGCTCTGCTCTACTCTACTTGGCTCTACTCTGCTCTGCTCTGCTCTGCGCTACTCTACTCCTACTCTACTCTACTCTTCTGGTTTATTCCGCTCTACTCTTCTCTACCTGTTTGCGTTTCCATTGCCCTTTAGTATTTAGTACTTACCCACTACAAACCAGTATGTGGGGAAATTCCACCAGTATCTGGGGAATTTCCTACTACTTCCAGCAGCACTCTGGTCATGTCAGTTTGAACACCTTAGTTCCAGCTCGGCCTGTATGGAACCAGGACCAAGAGGGACTAAAGAAGGACCATCAGGTCACTGGACCAGAGTAGAGTAGAAATGGGGCTATTATACACTCATCATATACAAACCTGGAGTTGTTTTTAGCTCAATCCACTCTTGAAATGATGACACACGTCCCCCTGCCCCTTCTGCCTGAATGCTGTTTTCAAACTTGTTATATAATGTCAAATCCTGGATGACGTTATGGAGCTGATATTTGCAAAATGGCAGCGTAACGAGCCGTGGAGCCGTGTTTGGGTGAATGAGGCTCTCCTCGACAGTCTCGCCTCTCCACAGATAAAACTTGTAACACAGCAGAGTGATGTCACACTGTAAATTGCCTCAGTATGCCTCAGTACACATACCTCAGTTGACATGTCTCAGTATACGTGTCTCAGTACACATGCCTCAGTATACATGTCTCAGTATAGATGTCCCAGTATACATGCATCAGTATACATGTCTCAGTATACATGTCTCAGTATAGATGTCCCAGTATACAAGCATCAGTATACATGTCTCAGTATACATGTCTCAGTATGTCTCAGTATAGATGTCCCAGTATACATATCTCAGTATACATGTCTCAGTACACATGCCTCAGTATACATGTCTCAGTATGTCTCAGTATACATGTCTCAGTACACATGTCTCAGTATGTCTCAGTATACATGTCTCAGTATACATGTCTCTCAGTATACATGTCTCAGTACACATGTCTCAGTATACATGTCTCAGTATACATGCCTCAGTATACATGTCTCAGTATACATGTCTCAGTATGTCTCAGTATACATGTCTCAGTATGTCTCAGTATAGATGTCCCAGTATACATGTCTCAGTATACATGTCTCAGTACACATGCCTCAGTATACATGTCTCAGTATATCTCAGTATACATGTCTCAGTATACATGTCTCAGTACACATGTCTCAGTATACATGTCTCAGTATACATGTCTCAGTACACATGTCTCAGTATACATGTCTCAGTATACATGCCTCAGTATACATGTCTCAGTATACATGTCTCAGTATGTCTCAGTATAGTTGTCCCAGTATACATGTCTCAGTATACATGTCTCAGTATGTCTCAGTATAGATGTCCCAGTATACATGTCTCAGTACACATTCCTCAGTATACATGTCTCAGTATGTCTCAGTATACATGTCTCAGTATACATGTCTCAGTATACGTGCCTCAGCTCATTTTTCAGAGACTTGTTTGACTGCGTTCTGAACCTGTTTGGATCCTCACACGACGCCCACTTCCATTGTTAGAGCCGTCACAGAAAACCATTGTGAGGAGGAGAGGAAGGGAGAAGAGGAGAGGAGAGGAAGGGAGGAGGGGGTTAGGAGAAGAGGAGAGGAGAGGAGAGGAGGAGGAGAGAGGAGGAGAAGAGTGGAGGAGAGAAGAGGAAGAAGGGGGAGGAGGAGAAGATGAGGGAATAGGGACGGAGAAGAGAACAGGAAGGGAGTAAGTAGTAAGTAAGTAAGTAAGCTTTATTTATATACCGCCTTTCACAGACCAGAGTCACAAAGCGGTTTACAATTGTTATTTTTTGGGCACTTGTCTCTCACTCCACACAGAGATGGGAGCGGGGTCGCCGAACAGGAGGCGCATGCCAGACCTATTGTACATATTTTTAGTGGTAGGGGAAACCGGAGTACCCGGAGGAAACCTACGCAGACACAGGGAGAACATGCAAACTCCACTCAGAAAGGCCCTGGTCCGGCCGGGATTCGAACCCAGGACCTTCTTGCTGAGAGGCGAGAGTGCTATCCACTCAGGCACCGTGCCGCCCAGGGAGAGGAGGTTGGGAGAGAGGAGACGAGAGAAAGGGAGTAGGGTAGGAGGAAAGGAGGGAGGAGGAGAAGCGAGAGGATGAGGACCAGGAGGGAGGAGGATACGAGGAGAGGGGTAGTGGAGGAGGAGAAGGGGAGATTTCTTTGCTTTGCTTTGACAATGGCAGAGCAGGAAGTCCAGCGGGTGTGGCCCAGACCAGGCTCCTGTCACTGTTTAAAGTTGAAAGTCGTCTATTGTCCTGGTTCCTACAAAATCTCCACAGAGCCAGACCCATGTGAGCCAGACCCTTGTGAGCCAGACCCATGTGAGCCAGACCCTTGTGAGCCAGACCCATGTGAGCCAGACCCTTGTGAGCCAGACCCATGTGAGCCAGACCCTTGTGAGCCAGACCCTTGTGAGCCAGACCCTTGTGAGCCAGACCCCTGTGAGCCAGACCCTTGTGAGCCAGACCCTTGTGAGCCAGACCCATGTGAGCCAGACCCTTGTGAGCCAGACCCATGTGAGCCAGACCCTTGTGAGCCAGACCCTTGTGAGCCAGACCCCTGTGAGCCAGACCCTTGTGAGCCAGACCCTTGTGAGCCAGACCCATGTGAGCCAGACCCTTGTGAGCCAGACCCATGTGAGCCAGACCCTTGTGAGCCAGACCCATGTGAGCCAGACCCTTGTGAGCCAGACCCATGTGAGCCAGACCCTTGTGAGCCAGACCCTTGTGAGCCAGACCCATGTGAGCCAGACCCTTGTGAGCCAGACCCTTGTGAGCCAGACCCCTGTGAGCCAGACCCTTGTGAGCCAGACCCTTGTGAGCCAGACCCTTGTGAGCCAGACCCTTGTGAGCCAGACCCCTGTGAGCCAGACCCCTTTGAGCCAGACCCCTGTGAGCCAGACCCCTGTGAGCCAGACCCTTGTGAGCCAGACCCCTGTGAGCCAGACCCCTTTGAGCCAGACCCCTGTGAGCCAGACCGCTGTGAGCCAGACCCCTGTGAGCCAGACCCCTGTGAGCCAGACCCCTTTGAGCCAGACCCCTGTGAGCCAGACCGCTGTGAGCCAGACCCCTGTGAGCCAGACCCTTGTGAGCCAGACCCTTGTGAGCCAGACCCTTGTGAGCCAGACCCTTGTGAGCCAGACCCTTGTGAGCCAGACCCCTGTGAGCCAGACCCCTGTGAGCCAGACCGCTGTGAGCCAGACCCCTGTGAGCCAGACCCCTGTGAGCCAGACCCCTGTGAGCCAGACCCCTTTGAGCCAGACCCCTGTGAGCCAGACCGCTGTGAGCCAGACCCCTGTGAGCCAGACCCTTGTGAGCCAGACCCTTGTGAGCCAGACCCCTGTGAGCCAGACCCTTGTGAGCCAGACCCTTGTGAGCCAGACCCTTGTGAGCCAGACCCTTGTGAGCCAGACCCCTGTGAGCCAGACCCCTTTGAGCCAGACCCCTGTGAGCCAGACCGCTGTGAGCCAGACCCCTGTGAGCCAGACCTCTGTGAGCCAGACCCTTGTGAGCCAGACCCCTGTGAGCCAGACCCCTGTGAGCCAGACCCTTGTGAGCCAGACCCTTGTGAGCCAGACCCTTGTGAGCCAGACCCTTGTGAGCCAGACCCTTGTGAGCCAGACCCTTGTGAGCCAGACCCCTGTGAGCCAGACCCTTGTGAGCCAGACCCCTTTGAGCCAGACCCCTGTGAGCCAGACCGCTGTGAGCCAGACCCCTGTGAGCCAGACCCTTGTGAGCCAGACCCTTGTGAGCCAGACCCTTGTGAGCCAGACCCCTGTGAGCCAGACCCCTGTGAGCCAGACCCCTTTGAGCCAGACCCCTGTGAGCCAGACCGCTGTGAGCCAGACCCCTGTGAGCCAGACCCCTGTGAGCCAGACCGCTGTGAGCCAGACCCCTGTGAGCCAGACCCCTGTGAGCCAGACCTCTGTGAGCCAGACCCCTGTGAGCCAGACCGCTGTGAGCCAGACCTCTGTGAGCCAGACCCTTGTGAGCCAGACCCCTGTGAGCCAGACCGCTGTGAGCCAGACCCCTGTGAGCCAGACCCCTGTGAGCCAGACCCTTGTGAGCCAGACCCCTGTGAGCCAGACCCTTGTGAGCCAGACCCCTGTGAGCCAGACCCCTGTGAGCCAGACCCTTGTGAGCCAGACCCTTGTGAGCCAGACCCCTGTGAGCCAGACCCCTGTGAGCCAGACCCCTGTGAGCCAGACCCTTGTGAGCCAGACCCTTGTGAGCCAGACCCCTGTGAGCCAGACCCCTGTGAGCCAGACCCCTGTGAGCCAGACCCCTGTGAGCCAGACCTCTGTGAGCCAGACCCCTGTGAGCCAGACCCCTGTGAGCCAGACCTCTGTGAGCCAGACCCTTGTGAGCCAGACCCCTGTGAGCCAGACAAGGCAAGGCAAGGCAAGTTTATTTGTATAGCACAATTCATACACAAGGCAACTCAAAGTGCTGAACAAGATAGCATTAAAATCATAAATAATCACAGAACATTAAAAAGAAAGATAAAAATATAAAATCCCTCAGTTGTATGCACAGCTGAACAGAACTGTCTTTAACCTGGTTTTAAACATTGTCAGAGAGGAGGCCTGTCTCACATCTTCAGGAAGACTGTTCCAGATTTTAGCAGCATGAATCTGAAAAGCAGCCTCCCCATGTTTAGTTCTGACTCTGGACACTAACAGGAGTCCAGTCCCTGTGCTCCTCAGAGTCCGGGCTGGTTCATATGGTACTAACATGTCACTAATATATTTTGGTGCGAGGCCATGGAGAGACTTGTACACAAGCAGAGCTGTTTTAAAGTCTATTCTCTGAGCCACAGGAAGCCAGTGCAGAGACCTGAGGACTGGACTAATGTGGTCGTACTTCCTGGTTCTAGTCAGGACTCGAGCTGCTGCATTTTGAATGTACTGCAGCTGTTTTACAGCCTGTTTGGACAGACCTGTGAGCAGGCCATTGCAGTAGTCTAACCTACTGGAGACAAATGCATGGATAAGAATCTCCAGGTCTGCTTTAGACACTATGTTTTTGACCCTGGCAATGTTTTTTAGATGGTAAAAAGCTGCTGATGTTACTGATTTGATGTGGCTATTAAAATTTAAGTCTGAGTCCAGTATTACCCCTAGATTTCTGACCTTGTTTGAAGGTTTTAGGGAGAGAGACTGTAGGTGACAGATGACGCTCTCTCTTTGTTTCTGGGGACCAAAGACAATCATTTCAGTTTTGTCTGCGTTTAGCTGAAGGAAGTTGTTTTGCATCCACTCACTGATCTGTTGGATACAGTGAAGGAGTGAGTCCACTGGTCCATGTTCTCCTGCAGTCAGTGAGACATAGATCTGAGTGTCGTCTGCATAGTTGTGATAGGACACTTTGTTTCTGCGTATTAACTGACCTAACGGCAGCATGTAGAGATTGAACAGAAGAGGTCCCAGGATCGACCCCTGTGGTACTCCACAGGTCAGGGCCATATGATCTGAGACACAGTTTCCAATCTCCACAAAGTACTTCCTGTCTTCAAGGTAAGACCTAAACCAACTGTGAACCAGACCCCTGCTCAAGGCAACTCAGTGTGCGGAACAAAACAAGGAAAATAACAGTAAGTTATACAGTCTGCAGCCTCTCCCACTCTCCTTGACTCAGGTTGGCAGATATGCAGACGAATCCAGCTGGGACCATAACAGCTGAATAGACAAGAGTTTTGTCAACAACAAATCTATAACCAACACCTTTTTCACAAAGATAGAAATCCTGGTTTTATTCCTTGTTTTGTCGTTAATGATTTGAGAATCAGAACAAGACCGTTTTTATTTCTGCAGCCACATGGTACTTCATCAGTGAGATTAGCTCAACGCGGTGAGCTCTGGCGCTCGATTCACGGACTTTCTGATTGATGAAATGGTGGAGGGCGGGACATCGAATTAAAAACAATAACAACATTTAGGGGCTGGAAAACTTATTTTGAAATCCAGATATCTCTGAGCTATTGTCATCAGTTAAAGAAGAATTCAATGGTTTATTAATGTCTTTTGACAGATTCTTACATATTGCTACTTTAAGTACAAGTCTTCTATATTCTACAGAATGTTTTCAATCTCTGAGAAACTGCAGTTATCGGGATCATTCCACAGTGTTCCAGCCTTGATGTCAGTATTGTCCCATGCCTATATGTGGCCCGGGCAAAGGAGCCCTCTGCTGCCCCCGTCTCTGGGCCTTGGCTAATTCTGTCCTGTCCCAGCGGAGGTTGGGGTTAGCGCACACACAGACAGGCCCTGGGTACAGTCTGCGTTCTCACAGTCTGTGCTCCTCCCCGGCCATTCCACACTCACTGTATACAGAGAGGAAACACTCAAACAGTCAGTAACAAATCTGTTATTAATAAAAACAGTCCAGAGGATCTCGTGGTTCTCTGTGTGTGAGGACTGGGTCTATTTCTTTATGAACTCCTCTTCTCGGCTCTTGACCCCTGGATCCACATCCTCTGTCTCCGCTCAGTCTCGTCCCGACTCAGACTTTTGGCGCAGAAGGAGATTGTCTTCATCTCTCTCCGCTACAAAGGAAACGCTCCTGAAGAGTTTCCTCGATCAAAGATCAAAGCATTCTCTCGATCACAAAGATCGGATGAACGTGACTCACTGCGTCTCTGACTTTTTTCAGAGTTTCATGAGTCATTTTGTCTTTACTATAACTGATATTGATATCACAGATCTACTGGAAATTAACGCAGATGTGGTCTCTCCCCCCGCCCCTTCTGTCTGAACACTCTGTGGAAAAACAATGAACAAGTTTCAAAACTAACAGAACAAACCGTTGAGAGTCGCACTGACCACATCCTTTATGTGGCTCCTTCACTTTCACTATTGTTTCTTTCTGAGGTCATGTGACACATACAGTGTCTCGCGAAAGTATTCGGCCCCCTTGAACCTTTCAACATTTCGCCACATTTCAGGCTTCAAACATAAAGATATGAAATTTTAATTTTTTTAATCAACAACAAGTGGGACACAATCGTGAAGTGGAACAACATTTATTGGATAATTAAAAATTTTTTAACAAATAAAAAACTGAAAAGTGGGGCGTGCAATATTGTTCGGCCCCTTTACTTTCAGTGCAGCAAACTCAGTCCAGAAGTTCAGTGAGGATCTTTGAATGATCCAATGTTGTCCTAAATGACTGATGATGATAAATAGAATGCACCTGTGTGTAATCAAGTCTCCGTATAAATGCACCTGCTCTTTGATAGTCTCAGGGTTCTGTTTAAAGCGCAGAGAGAACCATGAAGACAAAGGAACACGCCAGACAGGTCCGAGATACTGTTGTGGAGAAGTTTAAAGCCGGATTTGGATACAAAAAGATTTCCCAAGCTTTAAACATCTCAAGGAGCACTGTGCAAGCAATTATATTGAAATGGAAGGAGTATCAGACCACTGCAAATCTACCAAGACCCGGCCGTCCCTCCAAACTTTCATCTCAAACAAGGAGAAGACTGATCAGAGATGCAGCCAAGAGGCCCATGATCACTCTGGATGAACTGCAGATAACTACAGCTGAGGTGGGAGAGTCTGTCCATAGGACAACAATCAGTCGTGCACTGCACAAATCTGGCCTTTATGGAAGAGTGGCAAGAAGAAAGCCATTTCTCAAAGATATCCATAAAAAGTCTTGTTTAAAGTTTGCCACAAGCCACCTGGGAGACACACCAAACATGTGGAAGAAGGTGCTCTGGTCAGATGAAACCAAAATGGAACTTTTTGGCCACAATGCAAAACGATATGTTTGGCGTAAAAGCAACACAGCTCATCACCCTGAACACACCATCCCCACTGTCAAACATGGTGGTGGCAGCATCATGCTTTGGGCCTGCTTTTCTTCAGCAGGGACAGGGAATATGTCTGCAAAAGACCTGAGACTGGGACGGAGATTTATCTTCCAACAGGACAATGATCCAAAACATAAAGCCAAATCTACAATGGAATGGTTCACAAATAGACGTATCCAGGTGTTAGAATGGCCAAGTCAAAGTCCAGACCTGAATCCAATCGAGAATCTGTGGAAAGAGCTGAAGACTGCTGTTCACAAACGCTCTCCATCCAACCTCACTGAGCTCGAGCTGTTTTGCAAGGAAGAATGGGAAAGAATTCCAGTCTCTCGATGTGCAAAACTGACATACCCCAAGCGACTTGCAGCTGTAATTGCAGCAAAAAGTGGCGCTACAAAATATTAGCAAATAAGGGGGCCGAACAATATTGCACGCCCCACTTTTCAGTTTTTTATTTGTAATTTTTTTTTTATTATTCAATAAATTTCGTTCCACTTCACGATTGTGTCCCACTTGTTGTTGATTCTTGACAAAAGATTACATTTTTATATCTTTGTTTGAAGCCTGAAATGTGGCGAAATGTTGAAAGGTTACTTTCAACAAGGCACTGTATGTTCTTTTCAGAACAGTTAGAAGAGTTAGAATAGAATAGTTTGAACAGTTTGAACTGTGTCTTGTTCTGTCTCCTCTGTTTGAGAAATACTGATTACATTTGCTGTGGTTTATAGTCGTCTGTGTTTGAGCCCTGGTGGCAGCCGTACACTGGACATGTTTGCACTTGACCCAACTATTTATAGAGACGCAGCTATGTGCAGGGAGGGCCCCTGCTCCGTCTGCTGCAGGGGCCGCTGCAAACACCACAGAGCATTTTCCCCAGACTTCAACACTCTCCATGTGTAGAAAAACATGAGTTTTTTTTCTCTGTGGAGTTTGCATGTTCTTCCCATGTCTGCCCCGGAAAAGGCTATTTCATATATCCACATATCAAATTATTCTGAAAAATCTAGTGCAACTGTGAAACTGCCACCAGCCACCGTGATCCCGAAGCTAAAGAGTGAGTAGAGCTGTGGGCCGGGGCTCTAAGCTCCGAGGCTTCTGGGTAATGTGCTCCAGGAGGATTACATTGTTAAGGGCTCTTAGGCGGCGGCCGACTTAAGCCACAGAAATGAGCTGCGGACGCGTTAGGGTGCAAAGACCAGTGCAAAGACTGTAAATATATCAAGCCCCTGGTCTCTCCAAGATGTCTGCCCCTGGTCTCAAAGATGCCTGCCCCATAGTCTCTCCAAGATGTTGCCCCTGGTCTCTCCAAGATGTCTGCCCCGGGTCTCTCCAAGATGTCTGCCAATTCAGATCAATGCCCTGAGCTCATTGGTTTATCCTCACACTATGTACGTCCCAAACATTAGCAGAAGTGGCGAGTTCTGACCAGTTCTGGTTCTCCTGGTCTTGTGCAGTAGGAGCAGTGGTTCTAATTCCACAGGAGCGTTCTGACCAATCAGAGCAGACGGTGCGCTCCCTGGAGGAAACATGTGTGATTCTTCATCCCAACATCAGGCTCTGGAGGTGGCGCCTGCTGCACCGGCTCACTGCTAAAACAGGACACTCATGTGGGCCACGGCACACTTACACCTACCACCACCCACACACACACACACACACACAACCACACACACACACACACACACACACACACACACACACACACACACACACATAACCACACACACACACACATAACCACACACAAGCAAAAACAGACATATACACCCACATGCTGGACCACACACACTCACACATAAACACACACTCGCACGCACACACACACACGCTGGACCACACAGCCTTGACAAATGTTAATATAGTGCACATTTTGTAATGTTCCGACCACAACCATATTGATTTTATTTTGGATTTTTTTGGGCGGGAATAAAATTAGACATATTTCATAAGAAATAATTAAGGACAGTATCAATATTTGGCGCTTAGACCCCGGCAGAGAACTACATGATGAATGTAGAAAGGGAATTCATAAAGAGATGAAATGCTCCACTAGATCCTGGTGGTTTGAAGAGCTGGTCTGACTGATGAGGCTGTGATGGGGAGGAGGAGGGTTGCTGCACGATGTGAAAGCTTGCTGACGATGCGAGTCTGATTGGCTGATTGCTGATGCGGCGCTGCAGTGGGAGGACTGAGAGCAGTGAGCACAGAGAGTCAGAACCTCCGCTCTAGCTCCATGACGATTTGTGTAGGGTCCACAAGTTGAGAAGCACTGAGGCAGAGGCCGTCACGTCTCAGCTGTGTTTGGGTCCATAAGATCAGGGAAAAGGGAAAGTGCATTGAGCGGGTTTCCGTGTGTGGATTATAAGTGAAGGTGTACTTTTGCTAATATCCCTTTTAAGTTAATGAGGGATTGCTCTGTTTCCGTGAATAGTGTTGTCACACAGGGTTAAGTGGACTAAAGATTAGGTCTAAGAAAGTCCTGGTGCCGTCGCTGACCCCTTCCCTCTCACTCTGTTCACTGTGTGTGTGTGTGTGTGTGTGTGTGTGCATGTGTTTGTATGTGTGTGTGTGTGTGTTGACACATCTTTAAACATCAAACAAATGATGGTTAGATGTAAAGCTGGGGGTGTGGGGGGGGCAGCCCTGGTGACTGTGGGGACGTGGAACCTTCAGAGCTGTATCCAAAGTGCGTTGGATCTACGGTTGTGTGTATTTGAAATCCTAATCAGGCTTTATGCACAAAGAACAATGGCCTCTTCCTGGTGTGGTTGGCACCGGGTTCCGGAGGTGTTTGGACCTGAAGCTGCTCTAAGCGTTTGGAACAAGCCCCTGGAGGAGACCGCCCCGACTGTACTGCACTGAGAGCTGTGTGAGGCCTTTGTCGGGGCTTTGTGCCTAAACTCTGAAATACTTTTGACTTCAGTCGGACACATCCCAGATTTGTTTCCTTCTCTCTCCTCCGTCTCCAGGTCCTTCCACACATGGTGCTCGTTTGGAATCATGACTCACTCTGATTCCCGAAGGTCCGTGTACGTCGCGGCCATTCTATTTTTGATTAGGAAAGAAAATACAAAAAACGAATATTGGCCGTTTCCCGTTTTCCGTTTTCAAAATAAAATGTAGAAAACGAGAATTTAATCCGTTTTTCGATTTTGTGTTTTAAAATTAAAAAACGGATAACGAAAAACAGGTCATAATCCGTTTTTCCATTACACATTTACACAAGAAACACCAACATCGAAAAACCACGGCAAAAATTTGATTTTCCATTCTTGATCTTATTTTGAAGCTGACCCGGAATCTGTTAACCATGCCTACCACTATGCCACTAAGCGGCCGAAGTCACTCTACTTTGTGAGAAGACGTCAGCTGTTACAGTGGCTAACTAATTTGTCTTTTTTTCTACTTTAATAAGTTTTCAAATGGCCTTAAATAGTTTCGCCGACTTTATTATAGAGAGAAGGATGAGTGGTATGGCTTGTGGTGAGATCGCCAACGCGCTAACTGCACAGTTTGGTCCAACTGTGGGTTTCTCAGAGCGAAATGTGAGAAGATGGTTAGCCACTGTAACAGCTGACGTCTTCTCACAAAGTAGAGTGACTTCGGCCGCTTAGTGGCATAGTGGTAGGCATGGTTAACAGATTCCGGGTCAGCTTCAAAATAAGATCAAGAATGGAAAATCAAATTTTTGCCGTGGTTTTTCGATGTTGGTGTTTCTTGTGTAAATGTGTAATGGAAAAACGGATTATGACCTGTTTTTCGTTATCCGTTTTTTAATTTTAAAACACAAAATCGAAAAACGGATTAAATTCTCGTTTTCTACATTTTATTTTGAAAACGGAAAACGGGAAACGGCCAATATTCGTTTTTTGTATTTTCTTTCCTAATCAAAAATAGAATGGCCGCGACGTACACGGACCCCCGAACTACAGCTTCAGTGGCTGCCGGTTTTGCGTAGGCATATTTGCTCTAAGGAAAACAACTGCTGATTGCTAACTTGATCTGAGGGGCTTACATGTGACCACGTTTACAGTGATGTCACGTAAAGGACGAAATTTCCCCACTGTGGGACAAATAAAGGAACTCTTATCTCTTATCTTATACAGTGGAACTTGACTTGTCTCTTTTATGACTTTGTTTTTGGTCAATATTCTAAACATATAATAACATATTCATTATTTTCCTCTGTCGCTAACGGTTACTAACACTCGGTTACTAATAATCTGCTTTGAGGGAGTTTCACACCTCAGACTCCAAACCACAGTGTCCTTCCGCTCGCACTCAGCCACGAGTTTCACTTCACCACAGAAAGCAACGTGTCAATGCCTTTAAACATCAGTTGATTTTATGAATAGATTTATTAATTTATTAGTTTGGCACAGTCCATGTTAATGACCGTGTCTCCCTGTTTTCTCACAAACACACACACACACACACACACACACAACTATTGGAAAACTATTTGAAACCGGGAGAAAACCTGCAGAGACACAGGGAGAACATGCAAACTCAACACAGAAAGGCCCCGTCTGGAGGCTAACTGCTGCGTTACCATTCATCTGTTCTGTTTCTTACTTTCTAAAGATATAGCAATTTTTTGAGTTTATTTTTATTATTATTATTCCTCTGTATTGTATTGTATTCTTCTGCAGTGGTCGCCATAGTAACAGGGGCCCATCTCCAGATACTGATGCTCTCGGTCAGAACTAGAGTTTGGTGGATTTGACCTTTTATACATACAGTGGGAGGGGACACTTTCGCAGACACGGGGAGAACATGCAAACTCCACTCAGAAAGGCCCTGTTCCGGTGGGGATTTCAACCCAGGACCATCTCACTGAGAGAATGCTAACCACTCAGCCACCATGATGCCCATTACCCCCAAAGTATTGCAGCCGTTAGAAGGGAGATTCTGGATTTTTGACTCATTTCTGGACACTTATGATTGGGTTTGGTCAGTGCATGACTCACCCTGTATCTGTGTATTTATACTCACATTCATACTTCCGTCTGACTCTTCTGAGAAAGATGGAATAATTCTGTCACCCGCTTTGTACTGTATTGTAGCAAAGAACCAAAAACCATTGATTTGATCTTATTGAAGCCAAATGTAAAATCATCTTAACATAGTTTTCAGAAAAGCCCTGTGTGTGTGTGTTTTTGGTCCTAACCTGCCGATGTGGTTGGAAAACTCGTTGCTGAACTCGGGTTGAAGCCCCGCAGCCAGCTTTAGCGGTGGTTACTCCGACGACAGATGTGTGATGTTACTGCGTGGTACAGACAACACTGCGTTACCACGGCAACAGTGTAAACAGGCCGCGCCGCCCAGAGTCTGACCACAGGACGCAGAGCTGGGGATGCTGTTCACATTCACACAGAGAGGAACGGCACCGAAGACCTGTGTGCTAGGACCGAAGGGCTGTGAAAGGAGTCTGAAGAACAGAGTATTAGGACTGAAGAGCAGAGTATTAGGACTGAAGAGCAGAGTATTAGGACTGAAGAGCAGAGTATTAGGACTGAAGAGCAGAGTATTAGGACTGAAGAGCAGAGTATTAGGACTGAAGAGCAGAGTATTAGGACTGAAGAGCAGAGTATTAGGACTGAAGAGCAGAGTATTAGGACTGAAGAGCAGAGTATTAGGACTGAAGAGCAGAGTATTAGGACTGAAGAACAGAGTATTAAGACTGAAGAACAGAGTATTAGGACTGAAGAGCAGAGTATTAGGACTGAAGAGCAGAGTATTAGGACTGAAGAGCAGAGTATTAGAACTGAAGAGCAGAGTATTAGAACTGAAGAGCAGAGTATTAGGACTGAAGAGCAGAGTATTAGGACTGAAGAGCAGAGTATTAGGACTGAAGAGCAGAGTATTAGGACTGAAGAGCAGAGTATTAGGACTGAAGAGCAGAGTATTAGGACTGAAGAGCAGAGTACTGGGACTGGGTGGAAATAGCAGTTGTATTGAAGATGAAGACCGCATTGAAGTGAAGTATAAATAGCCTCATGTTGTGTGCGACAATCTTTGTCTCTTTGTTTTGAGTCCGTTATGAATTTCCTCTTTGTGTAAACCGTAGAAACTAGAGCTGAGAGAAACGGCAACAAACACGAGGACTTTTACCTGTTTGTGTGATTCTTGTCAATTTACATTTTTAATGATGAGAAAAAACAAAAGTTACATTGGTAACTACGGTTCTATGAATCCCAAGTGACCTCCAGAGGGCGGTGCATAGCACTGAGTGACAGCTCTGGCGGTCAGTAGGGACGAAATAAAACTAGTATTGTACAATTTCCTTTCCTTTCTTTACGATATGAGAAGGACATCTCACAATAACGACATCAGTCATGATATATTTAGAGCTGGGAAAATCTAAACTGCGCCAACTTTATTATAAAATACAACAAAAGGTAATAAATCTGTCTTATTGCTTCTGAAACCGTTTGGATCTATCACTAGTTTTCACATAAACGTTTCTGTCTCTTTAAATCTGATTTTTCAGACAAAAAAGTGACTGTGAGAGGACCCCCCCCTCAGCCAATCACAGGTGTTCTAAGTTAAATAAAGCAGGTTGTTTTGTTCACATAATGTTATTTTTACATTTGTCTGTTGGACAAACGTGTATTTATGAAACCATAAGTTTGGTCCTGGAGCTTGAAAGCATCTGACCACAGCAGCGGTCATCATTTTAATTATTTATTTTATTTATTTGATATGGACACAACAGTTACATTGGACGGACCAAGCTAATTTTCAACACTTGTCCATAAGAGGCTTTTAGGTCAAAAATGTGCACATTTAAATTTTAAAGAAGTCAAAATGTGCTCAAAGTATCACACATTTTGCTAAATTTGAGATATTTTCTACTTTCATCACTTTTTGCAGTTCGCGATGAGAGGTTTTAACTTCTTTAACGGCTTCCGGCCTGAAACCCGGAGGTGAAACACACCCAAGATTTACACTGAAATATAACAAAAACCATTCCCACTTCACAAAGTTTAAACACGAAGAACAGTCAGAAAAATGTCTGTCTCTGTGCCAAAACCTGCAGGTGAAAGCCAGATCCCGTCAGACCTCTGATGCTAAGCAGGGCCTGGTTAGTGCTGTGATGGGAGACCTCTGGGAACACATAAAGTCTTCCATGAAAACTGTCTCTGTGTCCTTAGGCAACACACTTCACTCACATCAGAATGAGTCTGGAGTGTGTGTGGATGGTTGGTGGTTGTCGGAGGAACTGACAACATTGCATTTTCTGGAACGATAGTTTTATTACTAAAGTCAGATTAAGGGCTCTGTGCCTGAATGTGTGTTGTTGTGTGTGTCGCAGGGATCTTGTTCTCCACGCTGGTCTTCGGTCCGGCCTGTGGCTTCATCCTGGGCTCAGTCTGCACTAAGTACTACGTGGACGCCATCTTCATCGACACCGGTGAGTGTTCCTCTGTGCATGTGTGTGTACATGTCTGTGCATGTGTCCATGTGTGTGCGTGTGTACACGTGTGTGTGTGTACATGTGTGTGTCCATGGGTGTGTGTGTGTGTGTATGTGTGTGTCCATGGGTGTGTGTGTGTGTGTATGTGTGCCGTGCACAGGGCACTGGGCCACATCCATCAGATGCAGTTATAAAACACATTTAAACCTGTTTGTGTGTTCTGTCATGTATAAGTTGTGTGTAATGTTTTACTGCTGTTGTATAACCCCAGTGTGTTTGTGTTGACGTTGATCTGATACAGTGATGAATATTCAGTGTTGACATAAGAACGCCTCCTGTGCCCACAGCGGAGCTGGGCATCAGTCCTGAGGACCCCGGGTGGATCGGGGCCTGGTGGGCCGGCTTCCTCCTGTGTGGGGCCCTGCTCTTCTGCTCCGCTCTCCCCATGTTTGGTTTCCCTCAGTCACTGCCTCAGTTCGAGCGAGATGAGACGGGGGAGACCCAGCAGGTCATGCTGCCTCCCCCCTCACACTGTCAGGATAAAGCCAACGGAGCAGTGGCTGGTGTGGAGCAAGGGGACAGCGCCACCTGCTGCCAGCAGCTGAGAGGTGAGCCACACCTCCATGAAATATAAAGTTATTTATGTTTCCTTTATGTTTTAGGCTTAGGTTGTTTTAATAAGACTAAAGTGTAAAGAAGATATTACTGCCTAATCACCAGATAGACTTCAGAGGTCACATGTGACGTGTCTCTGACCAGCTGGATTCGGTCAGTCTGACGATCGGACCATCAACAGAGACGAGGGGGCCTTCACCTTGGCTCACACTTTGGACTCACACCAGAGAGAGATCAGGCAGACTGACCACACCCCCACCACAGCTCGGCGGGGGTGTGGTCAGTGGCTGCCTGATCTCTCAGACTGACCGCATCCAGTAACAACAGCTGATCAGAGACACATCCCTGATGACACATGTAGCCCTCGATAAGAAAGCTCCGTACGTGAAAATATGTGTGTGTCATGTGTGTAACGTGTGTTTGATTTGTGTGTGTCATGTGTGTAACGTGTGTTTGATTTGTGTGTGTCGTGTGTGTGACGTGGGTTTGATATGTGTGTGTTGTGTGTGTAATGGGCCTTTTCTTGTGTTGTGGTTCGCAGTGATCCCGGGCGTGACGCGGCGGCTGCTCTCCAACCCGGTCTTCACCTGCATCATCCTGGCGGCGTGTATGGAGATCGCCGTGGTCGCAGGGTTCGCCGCCTTCCTGGGAAAATACTTGGAGCAGCAGTTCAACCTGACCACCACCTCGGCCAATCAGCTGCTGGGTCTGTGTCACATGATCACTGCTCCAACACACACACACACACACATTAAGCCTCTTCGTCCTGTAAATGTATAGCACCATTTCCACCAGCCCTACTCTACTCTACTCTACTCTACTCTACTCTACTCTACTCTAATAATAATAATAATAATAATAATAATAATACATTGGTTTTATACAGCACTTTTCAATACACTCAAAGACGTTTCACATGTCATTATTCTTTCACTCCGTACACAGAGGTGATAATGCACATTACTCTACCCTACTCTGATTGGGAGTGCTAATGTGCTTATGTGTGTTAACTGACCGTGATTGGCCAGAGTGCTGCTGTAAGCCGTGGTTAGCAAGGAATTTTCCCGGATACCGATTTGTTGTTGATGGGATACAGTATCAGATATTGGTGTCTGGTGGTGGTGGGAGGGGCCAATAGCACATACAGGTTGCCTCGCTTCTGTCAGTGTGCCCCAGGGCAGCCGTGGCTACAGTAGTACATTATCACCTCTGTGTACGGAGTGAAAGAATAATGACATGTGAAACGTCTTTGAGTGTATTGAAAAGTGCTGTATAAAACCAATGTATTATTATTATTGTTATTATTATTATTATTAGAGTAGAGTAGAGCTGGTGGAAACGAGGCTATAATTTTACAACGTGTGAAATCTCTGTCGTGACGTGACGCTCTGTCTGCAGGCATGACCGCCATCCCCTGCGCCTGCCTGGGGATCTTCATGGGGGGTCTCCTGGTGAAGAAGCTGGAGCTGTCTGCATTGGGGGCAGTGCGGATGGCCATGCTGGTCAACCTGCTGTCCTCCGCCTGCTACGTCTCCTTCCTGTTCCTGGGCTGCGACACGGGGCCAGTGGCGGGGGTCACCATCCCCTACGGAAACCAGTAAGGACCATAGGACGACTGGACCAGCAGCAGGGTTCAAGAGTTAGACTGTAGAAGGAATGGGGATAGTGCAAGTGTCACGAGTCATAAGTCTCCTTGTCCCTGTCCCTGTCCCCCTCTCTCCCCCTTTTGTCTCCTCTCTTTCTCCCCCTGTCACCGGCTCTCTCTGTCTTCCCCTCTCTCTTCCCCTTTTGTTTCCTTGTCCCTCTCCCTGTCTCCTCCCTCTGTTTCCTCTCTCTCTGTCTTTCTGTCTCCTCCTCCCTCTGTCTCCATTCTCTCTCTCTCCCATTCTCTTCTCCCTCTTCTGTCTCCTTGTCCCTGTCCCTGTCTCCTCTCTCTATCTCCCTCTCTCTCCCTTTTGTCTCCTCTCTTTCTCTCTATCTCCCCCTGTCTCCAGCTCTCTCTGTCTTCCCCGCTCTCTTCTCCTTTTGTTTCCACCCTCTCCCTGTCTCCCTCTCTCCTCACTCTGTCTCCCCCTCTCTCTGGCTCTCACGGAAAAAGTTTTGCTCCAACTCCAGCTTGTCTTAGCAACCGTCTTAGCAACACATCTGCTCCTTTTACGGCCATAAACTGGAGAAGAAATGCCCATATAATGAAATCGGCTCCAGCTAGCTTAACCTCAAATCTGCCTCTTCTACATTAAGGCTAACAATGATGTCGCACTCGCTCAGTCCACTACTGATCTACAGTCTGTGGTCAACATGTATACTCTGTACCCTGCTGCTGTGAGCTCAGAATGCTTCTCTGTCTCCTTCCCAGGACCCTCAGAGTAGGGGAGAAGCCAGAGGCAGCCTGTCTGTCCCAGTGCCAGTGCTACATCTCCTCCATCAGCCCCGTGTGCGGCTCCGACGGCATCACCTACCTCTCCTCCTGCTTCGCTGGCTGCACCGCCTCCGACCGTGGCCAGAGGGACAGCGCTCAGGTACGGTCACTTTATTTCTACAGCACATTATACAGTGCTTGGTATGGACACAACATAAGGATAAAAAGTAAGGCAAGGCAAGTTTAGGATCAACAAAACAAGAGAAGAAACATTAGATTCAGAGTCAGTATTTTTTGCCATTTGCTATATATACAAAGTCAGTGCGTGTTCAGGGAGGAGGAGGAGGGGGCGCAAGAAATATGCAAGAAATGGCTACAGTACCTTGCGAAAGTGTTCTGCCCCCTTGAAGCTTTCAACATTTCGCCCCATTTCAGGCTTCAAACATTAAGATATAAAATTTTCATTTTTTGTCATGAATCAACAACAAGTGGGACACAATCGTGAAGTGGAACGAAATCAGCATCATGCTTTGGGCCTGCTTTTCTTCAGCAGGGACAGGGAAGATGGCTAAACTTGATGGGAAGATGGATGGAACCAAATACAGGACCATTCTGGAAGAAAACCTGTTGGAGTCTGCAAAAGACCTGAGACTGGGACGGAGATTTATCTTCCAACAGGACAATGATCCAAAACATAAAGCCAAATCTACAATGGAATGGTTCACAAATAGACGTATCCAGGTGTTAGAATGGCCAAGTCAAAGTCCAGACCTGAATCCAATCGAGAATCTGTGGAAAGAGCTGAAGACTGCTGTTCACAAACGCTCTCCATCCAACCTCACTGAGCTCGAGATGTTTTGCATGGAAGAAAGGGCAAGAATTCCAGTCTCTCGATGTGCAAAACTGATAGAGACATACCCCAAGAGACTTGCAGCTGTAATTGCAGCAAAAGGTGGCGCTACAAAGTATTAGCGCAAGGGGGCCGAATAATATTGCACGCCCCACTTTTCAGTTTTTTATTTGTTAAAAAAGTTTAAATTATCCAATAAATTTCGTTCCACTTCACGATTGTGTCCCACTTGTTGTTGATTCTTGACAAAAAAAATAATTTTAATATCTTTATGTTTGAAGCCTGAAATGTTGAAAGGTTCAAGGGGGCCGAATACTTGTACTGTATAATTTCACAAGTTTTGAGTGTTGTGTCATCAATTATCATCACACATATGATTAGGATGGATTGTGAAACTGAAGAATGGCACAATATGGAACCTTTAATGGTCTGACGTGTTACTGTTAAAAGCTTCCATCCATTTTCTTGTTTAATGACGGGTTTTTTCTGAAGTACTTTGAGAGACCACAAAGAGACCACAGAGAAGCCACTTGTAGATTTGTGCGTTTCACCAATAAATAAAGACATGCTGTGTTTCCATGAGGCCCAGTTGGGAAGTGCTCATGGAGGGAGAGGGAGAGACCAGAGAGACCAGGGAGACCAGAGAGACCAGAGAGACCAGAGAGACCAGAGAGACCAGAGAGACCAGAGAGAGACCAGAGAGAGACCAGAGAGAGACCAGAGAGAGACCAGAGAGAGACCAGAGAGAGACCAGAGAGAGACCAGAGAGAGACCAGAGAGAGACCTGAGAGAGACCATAAGGAGACTCAGAAATAAAAAAATTTAACAGCAGTGAGTGTCTAACTGCATATGTGTGTGTGTGCGTGTGTTTTCGTGTCTCCAGAACCTGAGCGGCTGCAGTTGTGTGTCTTCCGTCCCGGAGGCTGCCACCGCGGTCCCGGGGAAGTGTCCGGCTCCGGGTTGTCAGGAGGCCTTCCTCATCTTCCTGTGTGTGATCTGTGTGTGCAGCCTGGTGGGAGCCATGGCCCAGACCCCCTCTGTCATCATCCTCATCAGGTGTGTGTGTGTGTGTGAGTGTAAGTGTATGTGTACGTGTCTGCGTGTCTGCGTATGACGAGGCACATGATACACACACTGTGTGTGTATCATGTGCCTCGTCGTACGCAGCAGTTGTCAAAACATTACACCTCTCTCTCATTTTTCACATCTGAATGATTTCATTTTGTAATTGTCACATGTTCCAGTGTCAGCAGAGCACTATCAGACTGTACACTGAATACAGCACAATCTCTGTGTGACATCACAAACTGCTCAAACAAACAAATGCAGATAAACTCATGTTATTTTTGGGACATTGTGAACTTATAAACAAATACCACCTGTTACTGTTTGCCATGGCAACACCATAAAGGTCTTATTGAAATACACAGAACTTACAGACCTGAGAGATCTGTCTGAGGGCAGCACAGGGAACGAGGGACTCACCTGTGGTTATCATTATCATTATATAGTGAATAAGAAGTAAATACAGTAATATTCTACATGTTGAAGAGTCTTGGGACATCTCCTGTTATGAAGAATTTGTGCATGAGGGACAAAAGTCCCCTGATTGCCTGCTTGGATGGAAAGCCTCAGCTCTAAAGCCACATTCTGAGATGTTTGTCTGGTTTCAGGACGGTGAGCCCCGAGCTCAAGTCCTACGCTCTGGGAGTCCTGTTCCTGCTGCTGCGGCTGCTGGGTAAGGGCTGGGAAACATACAGACTGATGCAGACTGATACAGACTGATACAGACTGATGCAGACTGATGCAGACTGATGCAGACTGATGCAGACTGATGCAGACTGATGCAGACTGATGCAGACTGATACAGACTGATACAGACTGATGCAGACTGATGCAGACTGATGCAGACTGATGCAGACTGATGCAGACTGATGCAGACTGATGCAGACTGATACAGACTGACCCCCCCCCCCCTCTGTGCAGGCTTCATCCCTCCCCCGCTGGTCTTCGGTGCGACCATCGACTCCACGTGCCTGTTCTGGAGCTGGGCGTGCGGCGACCAAGGGGCGTGTCTTCTCTACGACAACGTGAGGTACCGCCACCTGTACGTGAGCCTCGCCATCATCCTCAAGGGCGTGGCCTTCCTGCTCTACGCCACCACCTGGTACTGCCTCCGCCGGAACCACGCCAAGTACATCCACGGCGCGGAGAACCAGCTGACGCCCACACAGTTCTACCCTGGACCAGCGAGCGACGGCACCAAGTTCATCTACAGCCAGGACGAGAACGAGTACTGCGAAAACGTGGAGTCAGTGCTGTAGAGACAGGACCAGGCCAGGACCAGCCAAGAATCAGCCCAAGATCTGCCCATGATCAGGTCAGGACTAGCCTAGGACCAGGACAGGACTAGCATCAGGACCAGCCCCAGAACTAGCCCAGGATCGGCCCCAGGACTATACCAGGGCTAGCCCCAGGACTAGCCCCAGATCGAAATCAGGACTAGCCCCAGAACTAGATCACGACTAGCCCCAGAACTAGATCACGACTAGCCCAGGACTAGCCCCAGAACTAGACCAGGATTAGCCCCAGACCTAGCCTAGGACCAGCCCCAGAACTAGCCACAGGACTAGCACCAGGACTAGCCACAGGACTAGCCACAGGACTAGCACCAGGACCAGCCCAACCACCAAAAGACTGCAATGTTATCTAGATGAGTTCAAATAACGGAAAAATCACATTTCCCCAACAATTTGTCTTCATAACAACAACAACAATAATGCATTTAATTCTTAACTCAGACAAGTTTAAAATTGCTTCAAGACAAACTGGGAGAACAAGCATCGCCACAATCGGTTTGTGGTTCACCTCATTTTAACCCATCTGTGTTTTGGGCCCTGACTTTGACCCTGGGCAGGACTCCGGTGGCCCAATGCTGGATCCTCGGCCTGATCCGAGAAGAGTTTCAGGACAGACACAAAGCCATAACTGGGGGAGAAACAAAACCCAGTATAATATTTGACCCTCCTCCTTTGCAGCCATCTTTAGACCCAAACCCGGTCTCACAGAGATGGCCGTGGTCTGAGAAGAGACTGCTCCCTCCGTGTTTGTCTCACACTTGATTGGACTTGATGGAGCACTTATATATATATATATTTTGTTGATAAAGACAATCTCTGTGGTCCAGACAAAACGGAGGAGTGGGGTCTGAAGACGCTCTGTGACGCAAGACCAACAAATGCAGAGATCCTTGAAGACTTTAGCACAGCCTCAAATATCTTTATTTTCAGCAACATGAGAGCTCTGTTGTGTGAGAATGTGTAAAACTGCTGCTTGTAACGTTCGTAGTGAGGTTCTTGTCCTCTCCAGGAGATAGAGAGGTCCTTTACTCAGTATCTCTGCTCTCACTCTGTCGGTCTCTCTCTTAGAGCTGGGGTGAGGAGAGGTGGCTCGAGCATCTGTTTGGGGGGGGGGAGGTGTTCTGGGCATGTCCCACCACGAGGAGGCCCTGGGGACGACCCACAACACGCTGGAGGGACTAAGGGTCATTCAGACTTTCAGGGGTTCAGGGATGTCAAACCGGAATCCATGAAGGGCCGGTGTGGCTGCAGGTTTTAGTTCCAGTCTGAGCAGGACCACAGCAGACTCCACCCATTTCCTTAATTCCTCAGGTTAAAACTGGACTCACCTGAGGAGTCTGGTGTGCTCTAGCCTGGTCTTACCACACCATCGTACTCATTTCATTTCGTCTGGATTTGCTCCATTGACTCCGTTAACAGGTGGGAGGGGTTGACTCTTTTTGCAGATTGATGCAATTGGATCTGAGTTTACCGTGACGTATGTAATGCGCCCGAGTGAGTGAGGCATTTAGCATTTAGCCTAGCTTTAGCATTTAGCCTAGCCCTAGCCCTTTCCTTTGCCACTAACGGAACCCATGGGGAGTAAGCCACAACATCTTTGCAGCGATGACATTTGCTAAACATTCCTCTTGCTCCGGCTTCAATTTCTTGATATTTGGAGCTGAACTAGATCAGATTACTTTACTATTGCATTCGCCGTCATTGCCAAACTACAACCAGCAAATTGGGCGCAAACTCTTGACACCCGCCTCCCCCGCTCGCTGATTGGTTGGAGGGGATTCAATTAAGGAAATCGCTGCGACTAGGATTAGACCCAGACGTTCATGTAGGAAATGATCATAGACCCAGACACGTAGGAAATGATAATGGGCTCGAGTTTACGGATGGATAAGACCAGGCTAAGTGTGCTCCTGCTCAGCCCGGAACTAAAGCTTTTGAACCACACGGCCCTTTGAGAACCGTTTTGACCCCCCTGCTTTAAGTGGACCACGTCGGCTTCACTGGAGACAAACGCTTCATAGACCTGTCCACTCGCTAGGTGGTTTTACTTTCACAATCAAAGCACTTTTGTGGCCGCCCCCGTCTCTCGGCTGACCTGGGACCCCCTCAGGTGCTACGTGCTTCCTCCCCTCTGCCCCGTGCTTTACCTCCTGACTGCTGGGCGAAGGAACCGTAGCCATCAGACTCTTAACTACTAGATGCCATATTGTCGCTAGCTCTTTCTTCTATGTATTTATAACACGTTGTTTTCTATCTTTGACCAGTGTTTACAGAGGTGTAGCTGCAGACCGGTGCGTCCCCCTAGTGGCCTGTAGGCGCCACTACACCGCACAGGGTCAGACGGACGCACTGCAGGACGTCACCTTTTGATACTAGTCGCTCCTTAGCTGCCAAAAAAACGTGCAATTTCTGTCTGCGTCCATATTTGTACTGTCAGAGATCAGGTCCATGTGTTTTACTCGGCCTCTGTCTTTCTTAATGAGGTAATATAAAGGGATATAGGAATGTTTTATGCTAAAAGAGATGGACCTGTTATTTTTGTTGTTGTTTTAAGAGATAATATATTTGTGTGGATACGTGAGAATGTTTGATTAGACCTGAAGCTTTATCAATGTAGTGAAAAAGTTGCACTCTAACTTTTCTTCCGGAGACGTGTCTTGTCGTGGTCTCAGAGGCTTCGAATGTTTATCTAAGTTTATTTTATTTAATCAGTCTACAAAAAAACAGGGGCCGACAAAGATTCAGAGAAATGTCACGTGTTAAATCCATGGTGATTGGGGTTGTGGTTTTGAGCTGGACCTGAAGGGGGCGCTAGACACAGATTCTGTCTTCAAAACACATTTTCACATCGTTTCTCACCATTAAAACATGTGTGATACAAGGACAAGACTTTTTCCACCAGCCCTACTCTACTGTACTCTACTCTGATCTACTCTACTCTTCTATATTTTCTGCTGTATTCTACTCTGCTCTGCTCTACTCTATTCTACTCTATTCTACTCTACTCTACTCTTCTATACTCTACTCTACTCTGCTGTATTCTGCTCAGCTCTACCTGGTTGCTGGTTTCTATTATGCTTCAGTCGCGCCCTCCTTTGTCTCCAAAAAGGAACAGAGGCTGGTGATCCAGGTCGGCCAAACAAAGCCGCTCGTCCCAAGAGAGGCGAAAGGCACAAGGGTGTGACAGGCAGCAGGATGTAGAAGATGCACACATACAGACCGATAGATATGCAAGAGGCGAAAGGGAGGACAGTGATTTGCGCCATTGTCTGTAGGTGTCGGGGGGGCCCGGCTCCTTCCTGGAACAGGGACATATGACATATGAATAGACACAGGCAGGGTTGCATGAATACTAGTCGCTTGCCATCACACCTCTCAGCAAAAAGGTCCTGGGTTCGAATCCCGGTCGGACCAGGGCCTTTCTGAGTGGAGTTTGCATGTTCTCCCCGTGTCTGCGTAGGTTTCCTCCGGGTACTCCGGTTTCCCCTACCACTAAAAACATGTCCAATAGTTCTAGCATGCGCCTCCTGTACTGGTCCTGCTCCCATCTCTGAGTGGAGTGAGAGACTAATGCCCAAAATTAACAATTGTAAACCGCTTTGAGACTCAGACCTGCAGTGAAAAGGCGGTATATAAATAAAAACTTACTTACTTACTTACTAAAAGTGTGTTTACAAAAGTGTGTTTACAAAAGTTGCTAGAAACTGTTATAGAAATTAGTCAAGTTTCCTTTAGCGTTTTTTTTATTTCTTTTGTAACGGACGTGCATTTGTGACATATTTTCGGATCTACATTTGATTAATTGTTTTTTTTTTTTTTTAGACAGTAGAAAGAAGAATAAACTAGATAAATGTGAAACCAGACGTTTTTGAACCTTTTAAAGTCCAGATACTTTAATTGATTCTTTTCTGTAAACTCTCATCTGAAGAGAACTCGGTCTAAGTTTTCAGGATCACATTTTAACCATTTACACCAAAAAATTGTGCCATTGTATCAAATTAGCCTCAGTCCTGGGTCTACAGCCTCAGTCCTGGATCTACAGCCTCTGTCCTGGGTCTAGAGTCTCAGTCCTGGATCTACAGCCTCTGACCTGGGTCTAGAGTCTCAGTCCTGGATCTACAGCCTCTGTCCTGGGTCTAGAGTCTCAGTCCTGGATCTACAGCCTCAGTCCTGGATCTACAGCCTCTGTCCTGGGTCTAGAGTCTCAGTCCTGGGTCTACAGCCTCAGTCCTGGTCCTTCAGTCGACCGCTGCTGTCATCGAGGGCTGTACACAAACAAATGTGCTCGAAGGAGAAGTCTAGTTCCTCCGTGAGCAGGGTTTGAGTTCAGGTCAGGATCCTCGACCAGAACTCGGACATGTTCTATTAATCAGCGGCTTTTGGGCAGACAGCGAAAGGAAAAAACGTGTAATTTCGAGTGTCATCGCTTCTACAAATGTCTATTGTGCGTCCAAAGAAAACGTCTACTCCGATACTTCAGTTTTAATGAGCTGAATTGCAGTGAAACAGAATCCACGAATAGATTATCCACATTTCAAAGAGCTGCTCGGGCCGAGGAGGCGGTGAAAGCATCGACCAGAAGTTCATTGACCAAAAGAGAACCTGAGTTATGTCTTTCACCACGTTGTGCCGATGGCTCTGGCTCTGAATGGGCTTTCCCCGTGGAGCAGGACCAGGAGGCCGGACCAGGAGGCCGGACCAGGAGGCCGGACCAGGAGCCCGGACCAGGAGCCCGGACCAGGAGCCCGGACCACGAGCCCGGACCAGGAGCCCGGACCACGAGCCCGGACCAGGAGCCTGGACAAGACACTTCTGTGCTCCTAGACCCCAAAGACCCAGACCCCAGACACCTAGACCCCAGAGCCCAGAGACTCAAACCCCAGAGACCCAGAGACCCAGACCCCAGAGACCCAGACCCCAGAGACCCTGACCCCAGAGACCCAGACCCCAGATACCCAAACCCC